CGGCCACCGACACAGTCACAGCCAGGGAGCTCCCGCAGCAAGGCCGAGACCGTTGACCGAGGGCGCTCACCTCTCCCGTCCCCGTGCCCGAGCACCTTCAGAGGCGGGACAGGCGAGGCGCGACAGTGGACCGCACAGCCTCGAGCCCCACGTCCAGCCGGCTGTGGTCTTGAGTCAGGTTTGAGATTGAAGTCTTAGGTGGGACTGAACTTAAGAAGCTGAGTCACCAGCCGACAGTCATGGAACCCGGCTGAGAGTCACAGTGGGAGGGGGGGTGCTCAGCGGAGCACCGCGGGGAAGCAGTGGGGGGAGGGCTGGCCCACAGGGCCGAGGCCTCTGCCCTCTCGGACCGGAGACCCCGGAGCGGTCCTGGGTGCAACTGCTGCGGGGTCGCCGTGGGTGGGGCTTCCTCCCAGCCCGCTGACCGAGGCTGGGAGCCAGGCTGACACAAAAGGGTTTCTTCATGTCAGATAATTAAGAATTAACAGGAACCCTTCTACAAAGAATGCAGTTTGTTGTATTCTTAAGTGCTCTGGACCCAGCATGGTGAATTATGATTAGAAAAATTTGGAAAGCCAGTTTTTTTTTTGTTTTTCTTTCTTTTTTTCCTGCTATGTTTATTGATTTTAGAGGGGGGGAAACATTGGTGGGTGGGTGTCGCGACCACCAACCGGCAGTGACCTCGGAATGCTGGGGATGGCTCGTCGACACACGAGAAAAACATACACAGAGACAACCAGGTCCTGTGGGGAAGTAGGAACGGAATGGCCACTCTCTCTGGTGGGGAGCACCATGGCCACCCTCCCGAGGGGAGAGCACCCCTGAGGGAGAGTGCCCCGTTCTCCCACCCAAGCAGGCTTTTTTTGGGTTCGTTTGCACAGGAATTCAGGTAAAGCTCATTACTCATAGCCAGGAAGCGAGGATCAAACAATAGATAACAAGGAACTCTGAGGGCCTATTCTGAGTCAGGGTCAGATAGCTAAAGAGCTGTAAAACTTTGAGGAACAAACTTACTTCTTCTTTGGACCCTTATCAGTTAATTGAGAGCATTCTGAACAAAGCAGGTTTCACAGGGTTTTACATATTCTTTCTGAGGCCTGATCACCCGGGGAACCCGCCCTTTCCTGCACAGGGCGGCACCACCCTCCGTCATTGTTTCAGGCATAGGCGGAGCAAGGGAAGTAAGGCAGCCAAAAGATAAGGAGATTTTCTTGCAGACAGTGAGGACTCAGGCTGTGTCAAAGCCAAGGGGCAAGGGTCCATCACCCCCTTTTGCTGTAGCCCCCAAAATCCTTCCTTGGGGGCCTCCCACTTGATTGTGCCTGTCTTAGGTCGTTCCCCCCTTGGGGACTCTTACCTGTCATTGGCTAACCGACCAAGCATTGGGGTTCAGTTATGAATGAAGCAGCAGAAGCGGTGCTCCTGCCAGGGAGATAAGCTTTTGTCTCCTTGGTGGCTTACGGTCCAAGGTCATTTCCTCAGCCTTAGCCTTGGCGGGGGGTTACAGCTTCTGAAACCAGGCAGGGCGGTTCCCAACAGGTGGGCGCCCACAGGCGCCCTGACCGGGGGTCAAACCTGCAGTCTTTGGCATGTGGGCTGATGCTCCAACCAGCAGAGCCTCCTGGCCAGGGCCAGTGTTTTGGTTCATTTGTCTTCCCAGACTGATGAGTATTTTGTACGTATTAGCTCTTGAAGAAAGAAAAAACGTTGAACAGAAAGATCCTTTTAAAATTCTCCTATGAAATGTTTCAAGTTTCAGAAAGACTCTTTGGAGTCTTCTGCTGTGAACTTCAGTTTCATATCAGAACTTGTTTTCTTCTAATTAAGAGTATTGTGGTGAATGCCTGCCCAACACAGCCTAATGATTTAGAATACCCTTTGGACATGTCTTTTACCTAAGAGTCCTTTCCCAGCAGGTAAGGGAGCGCCGACTTCTGAGGGCCTTCGTGTGCCCTCCAGGTGGGTGGTCTGCAAGGCTGGGCGGGGCCTGCCTGCCACTGCCGCCCACTCCCAACTGGGCACGGCGTGCAGCGGGTGACGGAGTGATTGCAAGAGTGAGCCGGGCTGGCCACCCTCAAAGAGTCCGCCGACTCATCGATCATCGATCACGGGACATTTGCCTTGTTCAGCATACATGCTGTCCTCAAGGCCATCCTTTGATCAGGGGTATGGATCTGGATGACAGTTGGCCAGATAGGAAGGGCAGCTGCCTTGGGGACAAAGCAAAGGTGGTTGACCTGTGTCATATTTGAATTTGTTGACTTTCTGATGAAAGAAGTTAGCCAGAAACTCTCAGGGGGCGGGCCGGTATAGTGGTATGGAATCTTGTCATTGAACATAACTATATTTCAGTTATTTTTTTGTCTTACTCTGTAGCATATAAGTTTTCCAGTGTTTTTAAAATACACTTTTTAAAGCTTTTTTTTATTAAGAATTTGTTGCTTTTTAAAGATTTTGTTTATTTTATTTTTAGACAGAGGAGAAGGGAAGGAGGAACAGAGGGAGAGAAACATCAATGTGCAGTTGCCTTTCACATGCCCCACACACTGGGTGCCTGGCCTGCAACCCAGGCATGTGCCCTGACTGGGAATTGAACCAGTGACTCTTTGTTTCGCAGGCCAGTACTCTATCCACTGAGCCACACCAGCCAGGGCTAAAATATACTGGCTGGTGTGGCTCAAGTGGTTGAGTGCTAGCCTGTGCACCAGGGGGTCACTGATTTGATTCCCAGGCAGGGCACATGCCTGGGTTTTGGGGCAGGTCCCCGGTGTGGGGGGCATGTGAGAGGCAACCACACATTGATTGATGTTTCTCTCCCTCTCTTTCTCCCTCCCTTCCCTTCGCTCTAAAAATAATCAATAAAAATTTAAAAAATAGTAATAAAATAAAGTATACTTTTTAAGCACTTGGTTATGGTAATAGATAAGAGTAATTATTTTGCGGGAAAAGACATGGTAGGAAGTCACTCTTTTACCTCGTTTTCAAACGCTCCCCTCGGAGCCTGTTTTCTTCAGCAACATTCTGGGGCTTGGAGCCAGTTACATGGAACAGCATTCAGCCCAGCTCACAGTTTTTTCTTGGCACAAAAGGATACATTACAGCTTTAAAGTCCTGCTTACCTGAGCAACAGGTTTCCACTCTGAGTGTGAGTGAACGCAGTGTCCATCAGCCAGCAGACTACCTGCGGCGCCCGTCTCTCCGTGGAATCCCCAGAGGGTTCCCCGAGTGCGGTGGGTCGGACACAGGCTTTGCAGCCTAGAATCTGGATTTGGGTTGCAGTTTAGATGCTTCACCGCTTTGCAACTTGGAGAAGGTGTATAAGCTCACTGAGACCCAGGGTCCCCGTCTGCAAAGTAGAGGTAACACCACCCCCAGTCCCCGGGCGGCCTATGGGGGAACGCCGGCCGTGTCCTATGCCAGGGCCTCCCTGCCAGCCCTCCACCCACCCTCTTCTGACGGATCCCCTGCCTTGCTTCTGCGGTCCGTGGGCTTAGGCCCCCAGGGGAGCTTAGCTTAGGTTAAGTATTACCATCCTGATTTTGAAGCAGGTTTACCTAAATAGCCCAAAATGCCTGTTTTCCTTCCCACGCCTCCCAGATCTCTACGCTTACTCTCTTTTTCTGACATTGAGATTCCTTTGGGCGGGGGGATTGAGGCTCAGTCACAGCCCCTGCTGTGTGGGTTGTGGGAGGGTCGGATGCTCGTCCTGAGACAGTCAGTGGGTTGGTGGGTCAGCAGTGGGAACGCCAGCGCTGCAGCCGGCAGCCCCCAGCACTGCGGCTGTTGTCCGGGTCTGCCTCGCTCCCTGGGGCTGCAGGCCCTGACTGGGAAGCGCTGTGCGGGGACTGCACGCCTGGGGGTGCGGGGGAGCTGACTTAATGTTCCCTGCACCACCAGGGCTGTCCTTCCTGCCCCTGCTGTGACTCTTCCCAGTCAGAGATGCTGATGCTGTGTCGTTTCTAGTCAGCCACCCGTCGTGCCAGGTGCCACCGTACCGCAGCCCAGTGCCCCTGGGACAGTCACCTGGGCTAGCAGGCAGGCAGGAGGTGCTGTCTTCAAACATTCGGATCCCTTAAAAGACCCTCTCCTTGAAACCTCAATTGAGTAATTCCGTTGCTTAGCAGACACTGTTTGTGAGCTCGGGAGCTCTGATGGCCGGTGCCAGGGATGCAGAGATGAGGAGACGCGGGTCCTGGGCCGCCTCTGTGCTTCCCCGGGAGCGGGGCCTGCGTCGCTGGGGGGCGGGATGGCTTTAGGTGGTCCGCGAGCTGAGTTACCGCCAGCCCGTCAAGCACCCGGTTTCTTGGGTCTTACCGTATGAGAAAAGAGGGAAGGAGAGTTGTCTCAAAGAAAACTTCTTAAGTTTTTAAATCAGCTAATATTTTGACGTGAAGAAATTATCAAGGGGAACCCTGACTCGGAGAGACAGGGTGGCTGATGAAAACACAGAGGAAAATGCTCTTGTCGTTAAAGGCAAGCTTTGGTTTAATTTTCAGTGGAGTCCACATTAATTAGGTTTTAATAAAAGTCTGTCGTAGTACACATTGATTTTCAGGTAGTAGCATTATCTAAATAACTTATTTGACTGAGAAACGATGCATTTTCTGGACTACTCATTGCAACCTGGTAGTGAAGTTGGAAACAGCACGACTGACTGACTGATGGTCAGAAGCTGGTTAAAGCCTCGCATGTCGACACAGGGAGCAGTGCGCTGCCGGCACAGACAGCAGGAGTGTCACTCACAGTGTCTGGATCTCGGGGGAGGGGAGGTTCAAAAGCCAGTCGTGAAAAGCCCTAAAGGATGTGCTAACACGTCAACGATAGTTATTTCTTCAGCTGCTGGGATTCCAACTGTATATTTATTTTACTGCCCAGTATGTTCTGATTAGGAAGTGAACACAGGTCCTCTTTTGCTAGTGAAGGGAAGTTGGATTTCACTTTCCCTTTGTGCAGAGGAGGGTGGGGCTTTTCTCATCCCGCTGTGCTCTCTCCCCCTGCAGGTGCGGGGGCACGGTCGGCGCTATCTTCACTTGTCCCCTGGAAGTCATTAAGACGAGGCTGCAGTCCTCGAGGTTAGCCCTTCGCACCGTCTACTATCCGCAGGTCCATCTGGGGACCATCAGTGGAGCTGGAGTGGTGAGGCCAACGTCCGTGACGCCCGGACTCCTACAGGTTCTGAAGTAAGTCCAGTCCCCGTTCTGGACCCCCGCCAGACCCCCCGCCCCCGCTATCGGTCCAGAATGTTTACTAAGCCCATCAAACGGGATGTTCTGTTTGTACAGCCTTTGTCCAAACCAAAGAATTAGGTTTCTGGACCAATACCTTTGAACTCTGACCTCACTCCCTGGGCAGCAGGTCACCCGGCGTGCACGTGGTCGCCATCCAGGGGCAGGCAGAGCAGACCTGGCGGAACAGATCAGAGATGCACACACAAATCGTTTCGCCAGCGTGCTCTTGCCCAGAACCTTCCGAGGCCTAGCAGGAGACTGTGGCGTGGTGGGATGAAATCAAAAATTTCAAACTTTACCAGAGGAAGGGTTTTGAGTATCTTAAGAGGGAGTGAGCTGGAAACAAAATGTTTCAGTGTTTTAATTTTTATTTGGAAATAATTTTACATTTATAGAGAAGTTTCGATATATATTTAGTATAAAATGGTTTTAATACGTGTGTTTCATACGTAGGCTACCTGCCTCATTTACTATTTTTACTGCATTAAAAATGTCTCATTCACTTACGAAGTAGCTAAATATAAGTTGAATTTGACATATCGGCATCTATGCTGAAGGCAAAATCAGAGATTCAGAAGAGCTCATGACGATGTCCGAGTTTCACCTTGGGCCCTCATGCTTTAAAAGAGACGCTCAGGAAGCGCTGGTTGAACTTACCCGCACCTGCTGGTCAGATCCCTGAAACGCGCCCCGGGACGACGGTGTGTCCCCGGGAAAGGCCCTGCTGTTGCTCAGGGTACTGGGTTAGCTGGGAAACGTCGGACAAAGGTACAGTAAAGTGGAAATGCGCTGTCCGAAGAGCCGCAACGCGTAGCCCTTTGGACAGAGTTCAGTCACATTTTAGATAAGGAAGAATGAGTTGGAAAGCACCGACTTTATTTTTGGGTACGTTCTGTTTGTAAAGCTTGCCTCCAAGGCACCCATGCCAAGCACGTGGACGAGGGCGCATCCAAGCTCATTGAGCAAAACTGGGCGCGGGAGCAGCGGCTGGGGGCACGGCCCCGAGCGAGGGCGTCAGAAGCCCTCCCAGAGGAAGGCTGCGGACCCGAGGAGAGTCCGCTGTTCAAGTTAAACCCTGCGAAGGGGAGGGGGGCCCCAGAGGCGGCAGGCCGGGGCCGGGCCCAGGAGACAGGCGGATGGCAGGCCCGCTCTGGTCTCAGGAGGGAGAGGGACAGCCCCCCACAATCCTCCAGAAGACACGGCTGTGAAACGTCCCCATCCCGGTTGGCCTTTTCATACAGTTGGGCAGTGGCAGTGTCTCAAATGACACCTTGCTTCAGAGGAACATAAAGTGCTTGGGACATAATTTGCCAACTTTATTAATAGCCAAGATGGACTTCCTCCCGCCGTGCTTCCCAAACAACTCGTGACTGGTGGAGGGCTCACAGGTTTACTGTCACCGGGACACTGCTGCGCGGAGCGCGGAGGGCGGAGGGGCACGTGAGCCCGTTTCTGTGGGTCAGCTGACTGCGGTTGCGCGCTCTGCACCTCTGCTGTGTGTGTCTCTCCAGCGCCAATAAATCTCTCTCCGTGTATCTCTTCCCCAATTAGGACCATTGTTTATTGAAATGTAAATCAGAGAAAAAGAGCCTCTCTGTCGTTTAAAACCCGGGAGCAGGGCCCACCACAGCCGCAGCCGCAGCCGCAGCCGCAGCTGCAACCACGCAGTAATGAGACGCCCCTTCCGCATGAATGCTTGGTAAAAAACCCTCGAGTCCGTGTTCACATCAGAATAGAAAGAAGAGAGTTTTAAGTAAAAACCCTGTTAAAATGCTGGTTTGTTAGAAAAGTGTTTGTAAAATGGCACTTCTCGCCCAAGAGCTATTTTGTTAAAGCTTTAGTCCTGCAGCTTGATATATGTACATTATTGAGATTCTCAGCTGATATGTAATAGCTTCCAATTTAAAAATGGCTGTTTTTATGTAGTATTGTGTTATCGATTTTTCACACCAACCCTGTGAGGTTAGCAATCAGGCATGACGTTACCCTACTTTATAAAAGAGGAACCGCAAATTGGAGTTAAATGACTTGGTGAGGCCATTTTTGATGTGTATTTACCACCTTCAAAGAAACGTGTGAAAGCGGCAGACTCCCGAGTTGCTTCTGCTGGAGACAAGGGCTCCGGCCCCGTCTCCTGGGGCCACGCCCGCCCGCTCCCTGTGGCTTCTCTTCCTTCGCTGCTGCGGCTGCAGCAGCCCGACAGCCCAGGGCCCTGAGCCCACCTCTCCCCGGGGCCACACGATACGTCCGGCTGCCTGTGTGACATCTCCGCTCGGGGGTGTGGTGGCATCCAGAGCGTCACTTGTGAAGAACTGAGCTCCCCAGCCTCACTGCCCCCAGCAGCTGCTTCTGCCCACTGCACAGACGCACGCCCTACCTGTGACCCCTTTTCTCTGCTTTCTCTGCTGCTGTCCTGATGGAAGCCACCGGGCCCCCACCCGGGTTACTGCCCGAGCCCCCACCTGGTCCGGCCCAAGACCTGCTCCCCTCCCGGTCCCTGTCTGTCGCCAGCCGCGATTCTCGCTCCGATGCCTCCAGGGCCTGCCCCTTCCTCCTGGCCCTGTGGCCTGCCCATCTCCACAGAGCTGTCCCTTCCTGGGACTTCCCTTCCCTGACATAGCGCCTCCCGCACCCCTTCAGCTGTCCCTTTAAAAGGTCAGGAACATTAGCATTAGCACGTCCCGCCTCGGGGGCCCTGGGACCGGCTCCCAGATGTCACCTCTGCAGGGAGGCCCTGCAGTGACCGTGCTATTTAAAACAGCCTCCCCTCGTGCACCGTCCCTCCTTCCTGCCATATTTTTATCCCCAGCACTAAACCTCCGTCCAGCACAGAGGAGAGCTTGCTTGTTCGTATTATTTATTTTTTCTCCCTGCCCCCACCAGAGAGGAGGTTTCTTGGAGTCGGGGACTTTGATTCATTTTGGTCACCAAGGTGTCCCCAATCACTGGGAATGCTTGCTGTCACCCAGCAGGCATTCAGTACGAACTGAATGAGTGAATGGATTCTGGAACATCAGAAAGATACTGCATATGAAGAGTTCAACACATACCCAGCCGTGCAAATAAGGCATATTGGCCACTGCCATACTGCGCACGGCCTGTGCTTCTTAAATGTAAGATTTACACCTGGGTTTCTTGGTAGCCGAGGCAGAAAGGGGAGTACCATGTCACACCATGCTCTGCTACAGAGAGCCTGCTCGCTCCTCAGCGGACAGGCCTGTCTTCCTGCTGGCAGGTCCTGGGAGTGGCCTGACCCTCAGACTCGCGTGCAGACCGGGTGGCGGCACGTGCAGGGCTGTCCTGTGGGGTCGGTGGTGCAGGAGAAGGTGACCGCCCTTCCCTCTCTCATCACACTGGTTGAGCCGCCTCTGGTCTCCCCACTGGGTTGCTACTGGACTGCTCTCCCGTTCTCCCAGCAGCCATCCCTGCGCAGGCGCGGTGCTGGCGCCGAGGCCGCTCGCTGGTCTTCCTCTTCCAGGAAGTGCCTCTTTAAACGACCTCAGACAACGGAATTGGCTTATAGGAAGTTTACTTTGCAAAATGCAAACCAGTGTTTGCTCGTGTCTCAGCCTCTGTGTGTTTAATACACTTACTTAAAAAGGCTCTCGCTGTTAAGTTTGCCAAATGGGAATAACATATCGATTCACTTTGGGTATCTGCTCCAAAAAGCCTTACGATTTACTTTTTTGTTTTTTTAGATCAGAGTTCTTCCTGTTCTTTACATTACTCAGGTAATTTTTCTTCAGGAGCCTTTTTGATCTGAAAAGTAATTTATTAGTGATCTAGTCACCAACTTACAGAAAATGAAGCTGGTGTGTTCAGCTGAGCTCTTCACCTCGGGCTGTGATCTAAAACCAGTGACGGTGAAATGCCCCAAATAAGACCCTAGCTGCTTTCTGCATTTCTTTCCTAAACGGAAGTGTCTAAGGCTGTGGGAAAACTAGTCTGGATCCTAACATGCTTTCTTTTGAGGCCGAAGTGCACCATTTATAGCAGGAACTTCTGATTGTTCCAGAAAAGTTCTGTACACACACAGCAAGGTTAGAAGTTTGAATTATGTAACGGAGCTGACTTTTTGCCCGCTGTTAGCGTGCGTCACTATGGAGACAGCCCTTCCGCAGTTCCGAGGAGGCCTGGGTCACTCCGGGACGCTCGTCCCCTGCTGCATTATAGATGAGAGGCCACGGGCTTCCCGGGGCCGGAGAGCCCTCCGCTGTGGTGGGGCGGCTCCTGTGTGTTTACGGGAACTGCAGCTGCGATCTAGACGTCAGGCATTTTGAATATGCCGACCATTTGAAAGTCTTTTACAAGATGGAAGGCGTATTAGGTCGCTCCAAGGTGTCAGTGAAGAAAGTTCTTGTTCGGGGAGCCTGGCTTCCTGAGAGCACAGTCCTGTGGGAAGAGAGAGGAGGAGACAGGGTCTCAAGCTGGGCACACGGGATGCTCACGCCCCTGTGAAGGGCCGGCTGACTTGCTTTCGGCCAGCGGGGAAACCCACGGAGACCCCAGCAACCCCGTGCGCCGTCGGGCTCGCAGAACCCCCTGGAGCGTCTGGACCCCCCGGCCTTGCCCCCGCGACTGCTGGGCAGGCCTCGTGAGGCCAGTGTTTTTGCACCCTAGAGCGGGTAGCTTATTGTTTTAAAAGAGCTTTTTATTCTGAAAAAAAAAAAAACTTAAAACTTACGGAAAACTGCCAGGAACAGCACAGATAACTTGCCGTCGCCGACGTGTGGCACGTCGCCGCGTTCTCGTTCTCGTTCTCCTTCTCTGCGTGTCCCCGCCTCCCTGGAGCCACCTTTTAAATAGGTCGCACCTGTCACGCCCCTGCGCCCTCCGTGCTGCAGCGTGTGCTCCCCGAGAACAGTCTTCCCTTAAAGCCTCAGCCAGCAGTTTCCAAGTTCAGGGAACTCCGCGTTGGCGCACCCCTTTCTCGCCCATCTGCAGCCCCTGCTCCGGTTCGCTCAGCTGTCGGTTGTAAGTGACGGCTTCAGCACAAGGCGCAAACTTCGTTCAAACTCTGTTTCTGCCCATCTCGTCCACTCTCTGCGCCTTTTTCAGTGAGCCTTTCTTTCTTCCTTCCCTGTGGGTGTTTTCTTCTTCTTCTTCTTCTTTTTTTTTTTAGTTCAAGTACAGTTGTCTCCATTTTCCTCCCTCCCCTCCCCCCCACCCCAGCCATCCCCGTGGTTTTTTCTTCTTCTTTTTTCTTTTTTTAATAGCTTATTAAGATAAAATTCAGCCCTGGTTAGTGTAGCTCAATGGATTGAGCACAGGCCTGCAAACCAGGGGGTCTCTAGTTCAATTCCAGCTCGGGGCACATGCCTGGGTTGTGGGCCAAGTCAGGTCTCCAGTAGGGGGCGCACGAGAGACAACCACACGTTAATGTTTCTCTCTTTCTTCTTCCCTTCCCCCTCTAAAAGTAAATAAATAAATAAAAGGATAAAATTCGCATGCAACTTACGCATTTAAAGCAGACAGTTAACTGTTTTCTCTTCCCCACCCCCCACCCCCACCCCCAAGTCCCAGCCCTAGGCCGCTGACCACTAATCTACTTTCTGTCACTATAGATCTGTCTCCTGGACTTTTCCTGTACACTAAGTCGTAAGATGCGCTTGTGGCCTCCTGCATCTGGCTCCTCTCACTTAACCCCGTGTTCCTCCCTCCTTCCCTCCCTCCCTCCCTGCCCCCCTGCCCTCTGTGTAAAAAGTCAGTGGGCATGTCCTCAGGGGCACGTCGGTAGAAATAGAAACAGAACTGGCAGGATTCACTTCACAATTAATTTTATAGGAATATCTTTTCCATAAAGTGAAAGGTATCTTTTTCTTTTACCTTCCGTGTCATAATGAAGGTAAAACGTTCCATAAACTTTCTTGAAAGCACTGTGATTATTTCTGAACTTGTCCGACTAAGAATGCTGTCAGATTGGAAGTACTGCTTACCAAGTGAAGAAAATCCTTAGTCAGAAAAGGAGCTTGGATCAGAACCCCAATTCAACAGGGTAAATTCTCTTGGATGCCATGGAAACTGAGCCAATGAAGAAAGCAAGTTGGGCCAGCCTGAAGACTCGTTATTAGGAGCGGGAAAGGGCCTTTGAAGGATGTTCCCCGCAGTCCTGGTAGGGCTTTTGTAGTCAATTTTAGTCAGAAACAATATTTAGCCATTTTTTAAAGCTTTTTTAGTCTCTTTTAGTCAGAAACTGAGCTCAACAGTCTTGTTTTTTGACTCATGTGGCAGGGTACGGAGGATGGGAACCTGTGCATTGTGGGTAGGAACGTGGACCGGCGCCGCCGCCGCCGCCGTGGTGCACAGTGCGGCACATTCTCAGAGACGCAAACCAGGTGCTGCCACGTGACCCCGCGGTTCCCTCCCGGGCGTGCGCCGAGAGAGGTCAAGCTAGGGACTCGAGCAGGTGCCTGGACACTCGTGTTCACGGTGGCACTAGTCACAGCAGCGGAAAGGTGGAAGCTGCCCTGCTGTCCAGTGACAGGTTAAATGGATGGACAGAGTGTGGTCCGTCCACACAATGGGATGTTTGGGGTTTTGTTTTTTATGATTTTATTTATTTCTTTTTAGAGAAAGGGAGGGAGAGAAACATCGATGTGTGGTTGCCTCTCGTTGCGCACATTGGGAACCTGGCCCACAACCCAGGCACATGCCCTGACTGGGAATCGAACTGGTGATCCTTTGATTTGTAGGCCAGCACTCAACCCACTGAGCCACACCAGCCAGGGCCACACAATGGAATGTTATTCAGCCTTAAAGAGGGAAGGCAATTCTGACACATGCTGCAATGTGGATGGACCTTGAGACATTATGCTCAGTGGGATGCGCCAGTCACGAGAGGACAAGGACTGTGCCTTCCCATTCACAGGAGCTTCCTGGAGCAGAGGGATCCATGGAGACAGAAAGACGGTGGATGCCCAGGGCAGGGGGGGGGGGGGCAGCAGGGGCGGAGGGGTAGTGTTTCCTGGGGGTGGAATTCAGTGTGAGAGGTGAAAGAGTCTGGGGAGGGACGGCGGCGATGGTCGCACAGCAGTGTGAGTGCGCTGAACCGTGCACTTGAAAATGGTCTGATGGTGAAAGTGTTTGTTATGCATATGTTACCGCCATGGGAAAAGTGAAAAAAAAAAGAAATAGGCACAGTCTTCTCTTTGAACTTGAGATAGGTGGCTTTGGCTTTAAATACCACCCACTCAGCCCATGAAAATTATCAGGTGTTTCTATTGCTTATATCCCTGTTTGGGGCTCTCCTACAACAGGTAAAAATCCAGAGATGGGATTACTATAAATAGGGAGCCAATCCAAAAGAAGCGCTATCCAAAGAAGTCTCTGAGCCTGTTTGACAGTGAACCTTGTCACAATGAGGACACCGTCCCCTGAGTCCGACTCTCCGGGGCTCGTTGCCCCGTACGGGACTTCCGCACGCAGGCCCCGGGCGTCTGGCCAGCGGCCGGACTGCCGCGTCTGCAGCCCGCTCTCCCTGTGCCAACTAGCCGGTTCCTCGGCACCCGGCTCGGTCCTGCAGCGCGCTCGCGTGAGGCCTGGGGTCTTGTGAACAGTCTGTTCTTTCTTCACTCGAGGACCCAATGGGAGGGCCGTCCACTGTGACGCGTAGGGCTGGCCTGAGGATTTTACAGATGAATCTCTTTTTATTTCCCAGGTCAATCTTGGAGAAGGAGGGACCAAAGTCACTGTTTAGAGGCTTGGGTCCAAATTTGGTTGGAGTCGCACCGTCAAGGTAAGCATTAGACTTCCGGCTGGGTCCCCACACAGGTCTGTCGTGCAGCGGGTCCCTTCCTGCGGACGGGCCGTGCTGCCGGATGGCGGTTTCTGGCAGATGGAAATAGTGGTGACTGTGGGTGTGTCTTCAGTGCGTGTGTGAGAAAGAGACTCTAGTCATTTGACTAAGTTGAAAATGGGTCTGCTCTCGTCCCTGGACCTTCTCTAAGTGAGTGTGACACGTGGTCAGTGGCATCACCCTCGCCCCACCACCCCGATGACGCCCAACTCGCTGTGGCATGAGACAGGACAGGCGTGGCGTGTTTTGGAAATACCGCAGCTTTTAAAAGTCACCGTATACATCAGTGCTCAAAGGATTGGCCTTTATCCAGACGGAAGAATGTCCTGGACTTGGTGTATTACCGAATTTGGTGGGCGGAGCTCCTCCTCCGCACTTCCAGCCCACGCCCCGGAGCCCAGCCAGCGTCCCCCAGCACCCCGTCCCCCCAGGGCCCCCAGGTGATCCGCGTGCCCCTGGGAGCGCTGACCTGAGGGGGTTTTAAAGGAAGGAATCTGGGCTTTACTTTACATAAGGCAACATCCTCATTTTTGTTACAAGGCCTATTTCCCTTTAATCTGCACTGTCCAGAGAGAGACAATAGCCACTGGCCATGTGGGCTCTTACATTAATTAAAAGAAAAAATTCAGCTCCTCAGCCTCACTAGCACGTTTCAAGCACTTAACGTGGGCACGTGGCTAGCGGCTCCTGGGCCCGAGACCCCAGATACGTGACGTCCCCACCTGTGTAGAAGGGGCGGGGCGGGGCTGGTGCGGAGGACAGACCGCGAGGGGAGAGAGGGTCCTGTCACCCCTGAAAAGGGGGCAGGAAGCTGCTTCTAGAAATCAGCCCCGGGGAGGGAAGCTGGGTGGCAGGGATGGGACTCGCACGTCGCTCCGTGCGATGCTCGATTAGACTTCAAGAACCAACCTTTGTAACAAAAATGAGAACGTTGTTTCGTAAGGTAAAAACGAAAAGCTTCTAGAATTCTTGCAGATGGAGGCTCCAGTTTACACACAGATCAGCAGAATGATTTGTTTATATGCAAACCATTCATGCTAGTTTTTATGAAACCCTTTTGTTCCGTTAGAATTTCATAGCACATGAGCACACTCTACCGAAAAAGTAGAAAGGGCTGGCCCTGGCCGGGCGGCTCCGTTGACTGGGGCGCTGTCCTGTGCCCAAAAGGTGCAGGTTCCGCGCCCGGTCGGGGCACGGACGGGGGGTGCAGCCTGTCGATGTTTCTCTCTCCTTTCCGAGCTCTCTAAAACTATTGAACAGACGTTTGGGTGAGGACTAGAAGTAACGATAAAATAAAAAGAAGAAAGCACTAGTCTATGAGATTATCAGTGGACGGCAAACACACGTGACGTACAAGCGTTCAGTTACGGAGGCTAAGCCCTATCGGCCGTGGGCAGCACCGACTTGGCAGCCTCTGCTAACCTGATTCCTGCCGCCACACCCATTTAGCCGGCTGGGACCCAGAAGAAAACAGAAGGCTGCTGTGCAGCACACTAATGACAAGTAGTCAGGGTCCCGAGTTGAAAAATATATTCTATGGTCTGTTGAGAAGCTGGGGAAAAAAAGCCTGTTCCCTGGCATTGCTGGTGAGGGAGCCGGGAAGCTCCCGGCCAGGCCCTCCCCCAACTGCACGGGAGACAAGACAGAAGGGGGAGGAGAAGACAGGGCGGGGGTGGGGGGGAGGCCGGCCCCCACCTGCCGTGGTTGCCTTTGGGGGCCCCCCCCCCCGGGATGTTCAGTGGGCGGAGCTCTTCATGCCCACGGGCCGGTGGCTGCGCCCATGTGACCCTCAGTCACCCAGAAGACGTCCAGGTCACCACAGAACGAGTGTGGTGCATTTTAGAAACGTTGCAAATCTTCCAAGTTACGGTTTGTGTTGTGCTCAGAGGATTGGCATTTATCCGAATGAAGAATGTAAATGGGCTTTGTTTATCATCAAAATCTCATTTTCCTCAATTAATTGGGGCGCTCAGTCTCACTGAATACCGGGGGGATGGGCGGGGCCTGCCACAGGCGCCAAAGTGGGGCTGGGTCTCAGCACAGACAGGGTCACACTTGGGGCTAGATGTTAACTTCTGGCCCATTTTATTTTCCAAAACTTCTCAGAGGTTGCGGAGGAACGGGCGTGTTCACAGGGCCAGACCGACGTCTTCACGGCCCTCTCTCTCTGTTCTAACAGGGCCGTGTACTTCGCCTGTTACTCCAAAGCCAAAGAGCAGTTCAACGGCGTGTTCGTGCCGAACAGCAATACGGTGCACATCTTCTCCGCCGGCTCCGCAGGTGCGTTGCCCCGCGGGGCGGGGGGGGGGGCACTCAGCTCCCAATGTGCACCTGGTGCCCGGCCACCTTTTCCAGGCATTGGGGATGAGCTCTGTACGTCCCCTGCACCTGAGATCATTTTTCTGAAGCTTCATGTTGGAACTGATTAAATTGAGTGTTTAAATCAGTTTGTAACTTGGTTCCTGTTTTCTTTGATCACTAAAACTTTTTATTTTTCCTCAGAATGTCCATGTTCCGTGCATGCTAGTCAGTGTAATGCTTCTTTTCAAGTAATTTTAGTGTGTTTTTCATGTCTATTTCATTGTTATTTTCTAAAATTCAAGCTCTTTTTCCATGACTCCCCTGGGCACAGTTGGGACTTCTGTCCTTAACACTTGGATTCCGTGACCAAGGGGTGGCATTCCATGAGGGGTGGGACTGGGGGTCCTTTGTGGGCCGGGACAGATCAGCACACTCCTCTTCTGAAGGGGTCATCCCACTTACTCTACAGGAAATTTACAACGTGATTTCCCCCAGAAAAGACTTGGGAGAAAACACTGACTTGGAGATTGCTGAGCGAAGGCTGTGTCTTTATGTATAAAGCTTATGTCTGTTTAACTAGAAAGCTATTTTAAAGAACTAAAATTGACATTTTATGGAAAATTCCCACCTTCTGCCAGCCTGTGAAGTGTATGCAGTTCTGTCTGTCTCTCTAGTGTCAAGTAAAAGTCCCAGTACCCCTCTGAATAGTTACAGCTAATAACTTCTGGACCCCCGCAGAAAAGGACATCACACAGAGCTGCTTCTGCACGAGAAGGGCGTAGGGGCTGAGTACGCAGCTCTGAGGAGGGAGTGTGCTGTCTTGTCTTCTGAGGCTCCTAACCTAAACGCTGTTCATCGGTTTTGCTACTTTTGCAAAATTCACTTAGAAGAACCCTTGGTACCTAAAGCGCACCTGGAGGCAGGTGTTTAGTCCACTGTCTGGGTTCCTGGTGTCTGTCTGGCTTATCTGTTTCAAAAGGGTCACCGTGCTGGGCTGTGTTTGCTTGGCCTGGCCTGGTTAGCAATGTCAGAGTGGGGGAAGCTCGCTAAGAAAGAGGTTCTCCAGTAAGCAGATCAGTGTTAAAACTTCAGTCTCCTGAAATGATTAGTCGGATATTAAAGTGTCTAAGTTTGGGTGCAGTTAAAGGGAGACTTAGTTCCTTCTCTTTTAAGTTTGCCATAAGGCAGCCTTTTGGATTAGGACAGCAACTTTTTAAAGCAAGTTACCTCTGGACCTGATGCTTATAAATTGTGTTCAAAGCGGTTTCCCATTAACCAGAGGAACCACTGTGGCAGGAATGCCAACAGCACCACCTAGAGGCTGGGAACACCAGGTGGAGCTAGAAATTGGAGAGATTCCTTTTAGGCCCAACATACTGCTGGTTGCGACTGCCCAGGGGGCTGCGGCTGCTGTCTGCAGGACAGAGATTGACCTGCTCCCTGTTTGTGTTGCTCAGCCACCGAAAGCCGACTTCAGCGTTTGTCGGACGGAGCAGACCGCCTTAGGCTGCGCTGGCCGTGTTCGATGATGACATGTGCTGTTCTTTTTTTTTTTTTCTTCCAGCGTTTGTCACAAATTCCTTAATGAATCCTATATGGATGGTGAAAACCCGGATGCAGCTAGAGCGGAAGTAAGTTACTAACGGTTGCTTCCTTAATTTGAGAGTTCTCGGGGGTGGCCTCCCCCAGCCCCCTCTGCGGATGGAGTGCAGCGCGCGGATCCTTGTCCTTTCCGACTGGGAGCACGTGTAGCAGCTCCTTGTGTTTGGGGGTCGTGCTCTCGAGCGTCCTGGGGGACGGAGACCAACAGGAAGGGTCAGGAGTTCACTCCGGTGTGGCCCCTGGCCTGCAGTGCCAACCCCCTGCAACAGTCGGGGGTCCCGGCTCTGCGCAGGCCCCGCCCCAGCTGCCGCCGCGGGCGCTCTGCCGGGTGTGTCTCTTCCCCGTGGGAAGATGCCACTGAGGGCCGAGCAGCGGAAGCCTTCAGACCTCCAAAGGCCGTGGTCATCCACAAGGCCCTCCCTGCGTGGGTGTCTGCCCTGGAGCCCCTTCTCGGGCCGTGGGCTCCTTGGGTGGCCCGGGACACCTGCAGCCCCTTGTGGGGCAGAAGCAGTGGAAACCAGTCGTCCATGGTTTTTAAGTTACGGTGTAGCGGTACACCTACTTAATGTGCCGAGTCCGGTGCGGCCCAGCAACTACCGTACTTTCAGATAAATGGTGACGGCTAGTGAGGCTTTGTGATAGGGTTCTGTCTAGGAACCCTGGGTAACTGTGTTGCCCAGAACCCTGGGGGGGGGGGGCACTGGACACTGCTAGCGAATCCAGTCTAACTTGGAGCTACCTGGGAAGGAGAGAGGGCAGAGCAAGAACGCCCCGGAAGGGCACGTAGGGAGCCGCTGGGGCTCGTTTTTCCTGACGGCCACAGTGGCCCCTGCATTGGCCTTTGGTTCTCTATTCCCCCGCCCGTTCTGCCTGAAGGGGCCCTCTGAGAAGCATCGGGTCCGGCCTGTGTGAACAAACCACGTAAAATCCTTCGATGAATCTCAGTTACTCTCCGGGTTAAATCCTAATTCCTTGGCGGACTGTTCAAGGTCCTTCACAATTCCTAGAAAACACCATGTGCTCTCGTGTGGTCATGCCCAGAGCCAGCCAGCCCTGACCAGGACTCCCTTCTCCCTTCGTGGCTGTGCTGGCACCGACCTGTCCTTCCGCTTCTGACCGGCACCCCTTCCTGGAGACCTTGGACTTCACCCCCAAGCCCTGTGTGCTCAGTGTCCTAGCACCTCTTCTGCTTGGTGGTGGATAAGGGCTCATGTCGGCTGAGAGCCGGCACGTCCACCCTTCTAAGTCGGCCTGGTAGGAACCGTGCTCAGGAGACAGTGCAGCCTCATTCGCGTGGGCCTGTGAACCTGTCCCTCGACCGGGAGTGTCCCCGCTGCGCTTCCCGTGCACCAGTCCCTGGGGAGGCGGCACGGAGAAGGCACAGGCCCCGCCTCCCCGAAACGCAGCTTCACAGAAAATAGAATCTGTCCTGGTGGGGCAAGGGCCCTGCGCACTGCAGGACCCGCAGGGTCCCTGGTGCAAGCCAGGCCGGAAGGACGGAGAGAGGCAGCCGGCAGGCCCTCCTGCCGCAGCGACGTCCACGCGGCCGTCTGAGAAAGAGCCGGCCGTGGAGAGGGCTGCAGGCAGGAAGCCGTGTGCCCAGAAGACCTGGAGGCAGGAGAGCACGGTGATTCTGAGCAGCTGACAGACGGGACGGTGGTCGAGTGCGCGTCAGCGAGAGCGCTGGAGGGGGAGGGAATTGTGGGAAGGGAGGCTGGAGAAGTGAGCGGGGCTTGTCCTTCCAGCCCTGGAAATGCACTTGGAGTTGGACCCGGGCTCTGCTCAGGGGGCCGCTGAGAGTCGTCAGAGTGGTCGTGGGTGGTCCCGGGGGGGGCTTTGCCCCCCAGGAAACGTGTCAATGTTTGGAGACATGTTTAGTTGTCACACTTAGGTGAGGTGCTGCTGGCATGGAGCGGGTAGGGGTCACGAAGAGGACTGACACCCCGCAGTGCACAGGACAGCCCCCAGCGGAGAATTCCCCGGCCCCAAATGCTGGTGGTCGCCAGGCTGAGACAGCGCAGGAGGGGGTTGAGCGGGGAGTGGTGGGATTCGCGTTAGAAAGGTCGCCCGGCCAGGGCGCAGGGAACAGCCTGCCTGCGGGAGACCCGGGGAGACCCATCACGCAGGGGGGACTCTGACGGGCAGGAACGCTGCCAGGTCCCAGGGTTCAGTGTGTGTCCCGGCGGTCCCCAACCACTCTCCGTCGGGGGAGGAGCAGTCTGCCCGGGCCCGTGATCGGTTGTGTAGTCTCTTTGGCGGTCACGGTTTTGTGAGGTTGGAGGTGACGGAGCCGAGGTGCCCCGTTCGGAGACCAGCAGCGGTAAGACGGAGCACCGTGCACCGTCCCCGCTGTCGGAGGCTGGGAGGTGTCCTTTGGGACATCCAGGAGGCGGGCGCCTCTGCCGCGGCTGTCCTCACGCTCCACCTTTGCGGCCTCCCCCCGCACACGCCTCCCCGGCCGGCCGGCCTGCCTTCGCGGCAGTGTTGACCCGGCACGCGCACCCGGTTTCATTGTCGGGTCTGTTTTTAGGTGTTTGCACGGTGTTGATTGAGTTGGTTGCATTTCCCCGGTGATGAATGGCTTCCTCCACATAGCTCGTTCCAGGTCAGGTCGGAGGCTGTGCGCGTGCGTCTGGGACTCTTGCGCAGGAGGACGCGCCTTCCACGCTGGTTCCCCTCCCCCTCGGCGGCAGGCAGCGGCGGTGCCCGCTCACGCGTGTGCTCTGACGGCCTGTCCGGTCTCCTTCCCAGGGTGCGCGGCTCCAAGCAGATGAACACGCTGCAGTGTGCGCGCCACGTGTACCAGACGGAAGGCGTCCGCGGCTTCTACCGGGGGCTGACCGCCTCGTACGCGGGCATCTCGGAAACCGTCATCTGCTTCGCGATCTACGAAAGTTTGAAGAAGTGTCTGAAAGACACCCCGTTAGCCCCCCCTCCGAAGGGGGCTGAGAAGAATTCCACAAACTTTTTTGGACTTATGGCAGCTGCTGCTGTCGCCAAGGGGTGCGCCTCCTGTATCGCCTATCCACACGGTACGTGCCGCCTTCCCCGGCAGGGAGACAGCCGTCGGGCGGCCGCGTTCCTCAGAGTCCCCGGAGCCGGCTGCAGTGCAGACGCCTGCAGGTGGCAGTTGGCGGCGGAACCCACCGACTCCAGGGGCCTCCGCCCTGCGTGCCCGCGCGGTCCTGCGAGCGGCAGCGACTCGGCGTCACTCGGCGCCAGCTGACGTCCCAAAAACCTGCTGTGCAGAATGTGGGCCTGGCATTGTGGGGCTTCTGATGACCTCAGAGAAGCCAAAAATCTGGATTTTGTTTTAAATCCTTCTCTTAAAAAAATGACATAGGAGCCAAGCTTTAAAAAAAAAATCTCTCAGCTTTCACTTTGAATAGAATGCTGAGTAGAGCTACCCCAGGGTTTATTTTTTTAAAGAATTATAGGCCTGATATACTTCTGACCTACTATTTTTAAAATAGCTTTGTTTATTGTGCCATGAAAAACGGGCTTTGTTTTCAAAAGCCTCCCTTACCATCAGCTATGACAAACGTGTGTGGTGAGCTCGGTGACAGTTAATTGATGCCCCGGTGTGTGCCAGGGCTGCCTGTGGCCTCAGGGCTAATGGAGGAGAGATGGAGAGGGTAGGCTTCCCGGTAGGGAGGGAGGAGCCTGTGCAGAGGTCTGCTTGGTGAGCGGGGCCAGGCCGTGTCCTGCTGTGGTGCAGGGCTAGGGAGGGCCAGGTGGGCGGAGGCTTGGGGGAGGAGGAGGCAGGGGCAGGTGGGCGGAGGCCTGGGGGAGGAGGAGGAGGCAGGCCAGGTGGGTGGAGGCCTGGGGGAAGAGGAGGAGGCAGGCCAGGTGGGCGGAGGCCTGGGGGAGCAGGTGGCAGCAGGGTCTGAGCTGGATGGGCGCAGCAGAGGAGGGTTCCAGGAGGGGAAAGCTGGGGAGTACCTGGAAAGACAGTCTCGTGGAAGATACCGCCATGCTTAACACAGACTCCGTCTTCGGTGAAAGTATAGTGTTCGCTTAATCAGGAGTAGAAAACCAGAAACCATCTTAAAATTAAATCCCATTCAAACTAAGATTTTAAAAAACCCCGTCCAGGTTATTTTGTACTTTCGTGTGTACATCCCTACTGGGCGGTTTCCCAGAGTTGGAAAATGTTCTAAGCAGATCCTCCTCCTCCTTGTCTCTGTGACGACTCTGTCCAGACGGAACCAGGGTGGCAGAGGGGCGGAGCTGGGCTTGGAGACGGCTCCTCGCGTGGCCTGGGAATGCAGCTTATTTGTCGCCTAAAGCGCGTGTGTCTCTCTGCAGAGGTCATCAGGACGCGGCTCCGGGAGGAGGGCACCAAGTACAAGTCCTTCGTGCAGACCGCGCGGCTGGTCTTCCGGGAGGAGGGCTACCTCGCCTTCTACCGGGGCCTCTTCGCGCAGCTCATCCGGCAGATCCCCAACACCGCCATCGTGCTGTCCACCTACGAGCTCATCGTGTACCTGCTGGGCGACCGTCCCCAGTGACCGGCCAGCGCGTGGTGCTGTGGGAGAGCAAAACTGAAAAACTCGCGAGAGACCTTTTCTTTTCCGTTGATGTTTAGGATGTTCGAGACCGCAACAGGAGAGGCCACGAAGGACGTGGCTCGCGGCGCCTGCTGGACATTTCCTTTTGGATTCATGTTTTCTGGAAGGTTTAAATTCATTAACGTTAATAGTTAATTATAACTTTTTTTTTAACTTAAGAGGATTCAGGATTCAGCAGCAACTAAATTAAATCATGCTATTTAATTTAAGTATAAACTTGGCTCGTGTCCTCTGTCACATTCGCTGCACTGGGAACTGCGGGACTTGAGCGGAACGTAACCCTCAAAAGGCAGACGGAACGTCCGGAGCGAACGTACGGCTGTTTTCTAACCTGTCGGGTGTGGCGCGAGACAGGTGGGGCGGCACGTTTTGGCGGCCCCGGGCAGACCAGGACAGACTGCCTGGCCATGCCCCTTTGTACGTTCCCAAGTCTCACGCAGGTTGACGGTCCAAGCTTTCGGGCTGCTGAGTTTAAATAAAAAAACAAAAACAACCATACAACTTTCTGACATTAAATATTTTAAACTACGTGCACTCTCCTGGAGTTAATCCTCTGTCCCCAGTTTGAACCAAAGGTGAGAGTGTCACAGAACTGTTTACCAGCGGCCCCTTGCCTGGGCATTATCTCCAGGAGGTGAGTGGAGTCACGCCCAGGTACCGTGTAGGGATGTCAGGGTGCAGACGCCCGAGCAGCCGGCCGTGAACGTGGGACGTTGTGAGTGATGCAGCCCCTCTGACGACGGTGTGGGCCCGCTCTTGGGCACCCACTGCTGTGGGAGAAGAGTGTGACCCAGGCTGATTGCCCCTCCTTGCAGAGCCCGCTTTCAGCCTGACTGGGAGTGGTAGTGATGTTTAAATACCCTAGTTTTTAAGAAAAAAAAGTTTTAATCCTAGAAATTAGAAATTACAGAACTGCAAACCTACCCTGCTGTTTTAAAAGGAAACTTAATGTGGGACAAAAGCTAAGACAGGAGGCAGGTAAGATGGACTGCGTGTCCTCCTCTGGCTCTGTCCTGGACTTCGCGCATACTGCCCACGGGGTTCTCTCTCAGTCTGAGTGTCTGGGAAGATGAAACTAGCAGCCGCACACGGAGTGTCCACAGGCGTGGTCCTCTGGTAGGGAGGACAGGAGGCTATTTCCTAATCGTACTTAAATTGAGTTTAACTCTATTTGCCTTTCATCATAAAGGAGGTTGTTTGGTGGCATAATTTGCTTCAACTATCAACAACTACGTAGAAGTCAAAATAAATGCGTTCAGTCATGCTTCAGTGCTTCCAAAACAATGTGACAGTAAAGAGACTTCGGTTTAAGAAACTCACTTTTTAAAAAACATTTTATTTATTCATCTTTACTTATTTTTAGACAGAGGGGAAGGGAGAGAGAAAGAGAGGGAGAGAAACATCCATGTGTGGTTGCTACCCATGCACCCCCTACTGGGGATTTGGCCTGCAACCCAGGCATGTGCCCTGATTGGGAATTGAACCAGCGACCCTTCGCTGAGCACAGGGCGGTGCTCAGTCCACTTAGCCACACAAGCCAGGGCAAGATTTTATTTTTGGACAGAGGAAGGGAGGAAGAAAGAGAGGCAGAGAAACATCAATGTGTGGTTGCTACTCATGCATCTCCTGTTGGGGACCTGGCCTGCAACCCAGGCATGTGTCCAGGTTGGGAATCAAACCAGCGACCCTTTGCTTCACAGGTTGACACTCAATCTACTGAGCCACACCAGCCAGGGCCAGAACCTCATTTTAACAAAATTTTTTTTAGATTTTATTTATTATTTTTTTAGAGAGGGAAAGGAGGGAGAAAGAGAGAGAAGCATCAATGTGCGGTTGCTGAGGGCCATGGCCTGTGCCCTGGCATGTGCCCTGACTGGGAATCGAACCTGCGACACTTTGGTTTGCAGCCTGTGCTCAGTCCACTGAGCCACGCCAGCCAGGGCCACGACTGTTTGATAGTGGCACTTAGCAACGTCTTCCTGTTTTAATATTCATGTTAAAACCTGATTTTTTTCCTCAAGATTTTAATATGAAAATTTAGAATTAGGTTGCATAGTATTACACTATTTGGGTGAGAGAATGATTTCGAAGTAATTTTCACTTACACTAATTTAAACAAATAAATTCGATGTTGATCTAGTAGAAGTTAGTCCCCCACTTGCTTCTCCAATATTAGGGCACTGAGATGCAAGCAACGTGGGCCCCCAAAGCTGGATGAGAACAGGCAGGATAAAGCGATACTTCCTTCATAAAGGGGCTTGTCTGGGTTTTAATGGGAAATGCCACTATTAGAGGTGTTCATGGAGGAATCCCGTGCTTTATTTCTCTCTTCTCCACCAGCTCAGTCGTCGGGGTTTTATTATGTTTAAGTAATATATATTACTTAACATATTACTTAAGTAATATATATTACTTAATACATTACTATTATATATATTACTAATATGTATATATATTACGTATATATAAAGGACTTTAAAGACCCCCACTGTGCAAGGTGTATATCTTCTCGTTTAAGTTATTCCCGACAACCTCGTGAGGCAGTTATTATCACCGTCTGTCCACATTCTACAAATAAGAGGCTCAGAGGCATGCACGAAGTGCTCAGGGTCTCAGGGGTGGTCAGCAGGAAGCCGACCAGCAGCAGGTCCATGCTGCCTGTGGAGTAGACGGATGACAGGTCTCGGGGGCAGCCGAGCCTGTGCAATGATCTGAGTTTGGGGCCAAGTTCCAGCAAACCATTCCACTCGGTTCCCTTCAGGATTGTGCATCCCCTGGCACGGTCCCCGCAGAGCTGCACTGGAACCGGCCATGCCCAGGACTGAGCCCTCCCGGTGAGTGGGACACTGTGCAGATGCTGAAGCTGCCTTGGAAAGGCAGTGGTACCCGAGCATGGCGCTGCACGTGCAGAGGGCAGCCTCACTGCCCATCCTGCATTGCGTGCTCAAGGCTGGGGCCAGCGGCCCGACTGGGAAATGAAGAAAGGTTTTTGCTCTGACTAGAATGGGGAGCTTCCCCAGCAGACTCTAGGGGCCCCCAGGTTCTGTGTGGGCTCCCTGCCCCCCCCCCCCCCGCAGGCAGCTCTTTACTAAAGCACAGGACTGGGTGTGAGACAGATTAACCTGTCACATGAAACCCGACAAATAACCCATTGCTGTCCACAACAGTGAGAACTCTTAATCGTGACCCCCAAAACACTGGAAACGTGACAACACCGAAACATATTGTGTCAATACAAATATTTCCTACTACTTTCTTTTTAGTTATAAAAGTAACTTAGCCAAAATCCATAATACTAAAAACACTTGCATAAAATGAATCTTCCCTGCTAATCCCACCTCCTGGAGTTAACTGTAGTTCATTTAACCATCCTCTACTTAATTTTGGATAGCGTCAAAGTTAATGTGTATGTTGCTTTTTGAACATTGTATCATCCCTCCAGTCCAATCCCTATAGCTCTGACGTTCTAATAGTTGCATTATGTTCAGATGTATGGCCGTCCTGTGATTTATTCAACCTTGTCCCTGTTTCTATAAACATAATGTTTCTATAAATTATTTTCGACCATTGGCGTGGCTGCAGTGGAAGTGGATTAAGGAGCACACCAGCATTGCACACATCGGCCGCGTCTGGCTAGGCGTTGGGGAAACAGAATCAGCAGGAGCAATGGCTAGTTCCAAGCAGTCCCTCCGGTAGCCAGATACGCTAAGGTTGGCGGACGAGAGAGCCAGAGCGGGAGCGGAATGAGCGGGCCGGGCTCCGAGCCACATCCCACCTCCGGCCGCAAGGGAGCGCGGTCGGGCCACCACTTCCCCCCGGCGCCCCGCCCACCAGGCTCGACCCACTCCCCGATTGGCTGCGCAGCGGGAGCGCGCCGAGTCAGGGGGCGGGCCCGCGCCGGCTACAAAGCGACGAAGGTCACGGCGCGAGGAGGTGCGCGCCGCCGCGCCCCGCGATTCGCCTGCGGCCCTCGCCCGCGCCGCCGCCTACTGCCCGCCACCTGCCGCCCGCCTCCCGCCTCCCGCCGACCGCGCGGGAGCCATGGAGGGAGTGAGCGCGCTGCTGGCCCGCTGCCCCACGGCCGGCCTGGCCGGCGGCCTGGGGGTCACGGCGTGCGCCGCGGCCGGCGTGCTGCTCTACCGGATCGTGCGCAGGTGAGTGTGCGCGGCCCCTGCGGCCTCGGCCCGTCGTCCCCAGCCGCCTGCCGGCCGCCCTCAGCCCGCCACCCTCCCGCTTTGGCGGGTCTGGAACCGCACGGCGCCTCCCTACCGGTGCCCAGCGAGGCCTCGGCATTGCGGTGGGGGCCGGGCCTGTGTACCCACGTGCTGATACTCGCTCTGCACGTCCCCACCCCCCAAAAGAAGACCGGATTTGGAATCCTTATCCCGAGACGGCTGTGGAGTGGGTTGAGGAGTTCAGGAATGCGGGGTGGGCGACAGCACTTATCACGTGGTTACAAACTTCCTCCCCCTGTGCTGTGCAGAGACCTGTGCTGGCCGAGCCACAGGATCTGCAGCCGCCCGCCCCCGCCCCACGAACTCCCACTCTGGCTCCCCAATCCCCGCTGGAGAACCCACCGGCATCGCACTGCGCTCTGACTGCCCTCCGCCCTCAGCCCCGCCCCTGGTCCTCGAGAGCACGTCGGGGTGGCCTGATACTAGGTGGCACTCTGGTCTGCTACACTGTCTCCCGCGTTGTTCTAATCTCACGTTAGCACATTTAAAGAGTTACAGCCCCCGCCCCCCCTAAAGAAGCTGACGGTCGGGAGAGCTTAAGTGAGCTGTTACTAATTGGAAGGGTCGGGGTGCCATCTGAGGGGGTCTGGTCCTGGAGCCTGCATCCCTAACCGCTGGGATACACAGCTTCCAAGAGCAGGGAAAACCTGGGCCACCTCGGAGGTGTTTCCAGTGCGCTGGGGCTGCGGCTGAGCTGGTTCAGGCCCGCCCCCAGCTCAGGCTCGGCTCAGAGATCACGCCCACCCCCATTCAGAGCCAGCCTGCCTCATGGACCTTGGCGGTCACGGCCAAAAGCTCTCGTTTCAGCAGAGATTCCAATAGCCAGACTGTCTCCCCATCTGATCCACCTTCCCAGGGGACGGGGGAAAAGACGGAGCTGTGAGGACATTCTGCGGGCACAGCGGATGGGTTTGTTGCTTCAGCCAGGAACGTGTAACGCTCAGAATTTGGGCGGAAGACACGAAGGCACTTGCCCACAGTCACTGGGCACAAGCGGTGGAGCTGGGATTTGAACTTGGGCTCTTTGGCTGTTCTTCCTTAACCACCAGCATGTACTGCTTCTCACCCAAGAGGAAAAGAAGCGAGGGTGCTCAGGGGAGGAAGGGGGAGGAGGTAGGAGGGACACCAGCTGTGTCTGCAGGAGGAGTCAGCCCGGCAGACAAGGAGAGAGGGCAGTTGGGGATTTAAGGAGCCCCCGACTCAAGGGGTCCCTGACAACCCACATCTCTAGTGTCCCGGTTCCATCCCGATTTCTGGAAGCTGGGAGGGCTTGTGGGACCAGCAGGTTCAAACCAGTCATTTTGTACACAGGGGGACTGGGGTGCAGAGATGCAGAGCGCTTTGCTCAAGTGGACACAGAGGCTTGGACCCAGATTAGCGTCCTGGACACTGCTGCCTCCCAGTCAACCCGGGACGGGGGACGTCGCCCTGAGGAGCAGAGCCGGGGCTGTCCCCAGCTGTGCCACGCCTCCTTCGCATGTAGCAGGGCTGGATTCAGACCGTGTCGCATGTTCCCGTGTCGCGTGCGTCAGCCGTTTTCAGGCGGCCAGCCACAGCTTTCCCTCTCCCAGAGACCGGGCTCCGGGGCCTTCGCGCAGAGCCGAGCGGGTGGGCTGGGCAAGGGGAGCCAGGAGGGTCCTGCAAGGCGTCACACTCCAGCAGCACCAGGGGTCTGTGGGCAGCCTGGGGGCCTGTTGGGCCGAGACAGGCCTGTTGGCGCCTGGGCCTGGGACCGGCCCTTCCCACGACGCTCCGAGGTGCTCAGAGAGCACTGGCTTTTGTCTAGGGGTCACAGGTTGGCCACTGTCACGATTCAGAAGCAAGACCAGCCCCACAGAGACTGAGCCCATCTCCCTCCAGGGAGGAGAACCCTGGGACAGAGAGGACTGGTGGCTTTGGCTGCAGCAAGGGTTGTTTTGTTTTGTTTTGTTTTTTGAATGACCCCCTGGAGGACACGTGAGGAGAACTGTTTGTGGTGGGTGTTTGCCGGCTCAGCCAAGGCAGGGCCCGCCTGGCTTCCACACCTGTGCAGTTCTCCTGACCCGGTCACCGTGACTGACTCGGTGCCAATGCTGGTTCAGTGGGGAGCACATTCCTGCTGCCACCTGGTGCGCCCTGGGGGGCAGGGGCCACGGTCCTCCCCTTTCTGCAGCTCAGGAAACAGGGCCTGTCCGGTTGGACTTCCTGCCCTTCAGCTACCAGCTGTTCACGGCAGACCGCCCCCCCCCCCCCACCCGCCAGCCCTTCAGCCCCTAACCGAGCCTGGAGCTCTCGGCTGCCCTCTGCACCCATGGGGGCCCGTGGCTGCCAGCACGGGCTCAGGCGGAAGCCCACATCACACTCCCAGGATCCTGCTCACCCTGGGTCCGGGTGGTCATCATGGCTTCCTGAGCCCATCCCACCCCCGGACCCTGCCGCTCTGCATTGCCAGCATGTCCCCGCTCGGGACCTCAGGGGCCACCCACAGCACCCAGAGGTGTCTGTTGGCTTGTTACCAAGGGGATGCAGCTCTGGGGTTGAGCAGCAGAGCCTTGTCTTGTCACCTAGAGTCCCCGCTCCCGATCCCCTCCCTCCATGCTCTCCTGGTGCCGCACTCTGGCCGAGGGTACGCTGCACCCTGGACGCACGCTGGCTGGGTGGTCGCCCATCTGCCCGGCAGCCCCGCCTGTTTGAACGCCATCTGTTCCTTTTGCGCTGCTGGCCAGCAGACCCGTGCCTTAGGGTGACAGCAGATGCTCCACTTGTTGGCCTGTCTCCTGTGGCATCTGTCACCAGCTGCCCCCGAGGTCATTGTTCTTGTCGCCGTGTCCAGGTCAGAAGGAGAGAGTTTGCTCCTTTCTGCGCCTCTGTAAGCCTGGCTCAGTCAGCGCGAGGGGGTCTGCCCGCTCCAGGCCAGGTCTGCCGCCAGAGGGGGGGGCTTGGGGCTTTCTGTCTTGGGCTGGCGGGGCTGCCGTGGACGGAGGTGTGCCTGCCCGGAGGCCCGCTGGGCCCCGGCTGGCAGTTTGATGCCGCTATCGCTGCAGAAGGAGCTTTTTTGGATTCTCACTGTTGAGTGGGGCGACACGTATTGTCCGCTTCAGGCTCAGAGGAGCAAGCAAGGAGCCCCTCACCTGTGTGAGACTGCCCTGGGTGTCATGGGGCGGGGGGGGCCCTGCCGGGGGCTGACCTCTTGGTCCCCAACTAGTCTGACTCATTGAGGCCGCTTTCCAGACCCTGCCAGACCAGCCCACGCGCCCAGGGTCTCAAGCTCTGGGCCAGGCCCCTTTCAGGGGAGGCTGGGCACCCCTCGAGGCCTGGTGAAAGCCAGTTGACACGCTGGCCTCCCCTGGACTCTGAGCCCCACCCCATGTCTCTGCTCCGGGGTGCAGCGCCGGGCCCACAGCAGGCGCCCGGCCTCTGGCAGGGTCCTGGGCCAAGGTGGTCTCACTCCTGGAACGCCCCCTCCCCCCACCTGTAGGGAATGGGGGGATATGAGAACACGAGCTTCATTAATTCAACATCCGTGTCCAGGGCGGATGGCATGACACTGTTTTTAAGGGTGTGTGTCCGTCTGTCCCTCCCCAGTGTGTATTCAGGCTGGGGGAGGGCTGGGCCCGGAGTATGCCGCGCCCCCTTCCCCTGCTCCCCAGGGGCCCGAGAGCTCAGCGGGGGGGTGTAGCGGGAGTGGGGCAAGCACCTGCCAGGGCCGGCGCTGCCTCACGAGGAGATGTCTGTCTTGTCCTGTTAGACCTTCTCCGCTGGGAGTGGTTGGTCCCGGAGCCTCGCCGGGGCGGAGGTTCGGGCTTGGGGAGAGAAGCGGGTTGAGGGGTTCTCGAGGAGAGCTGGGGGGCATTTCCCCGAGCAAGAGCAGGGCCAGGGTTGCGCTGGCTTAGAACTGAGGGGCCCACACACCCCCGGGGCAGGCCCGGTGGGGGTAGATGGGGGGCCCGGAGGCCCCGGCCCCGGGGCCAGCCTTGGAAACCGCACAGGCCGCGCAGTTGGCTGCCGGGTGTCGCCCCAGACACAGCTCACATTCGCTCCCACGCATCAAGCGCGGGGGGGCATGGGGGGGTGGGGTTCACGTCCAGCTCCCCACCACTTTGCTGGCCCCTCTGCCTCTCCCGGGCGCACAGACCCTTGCAGGGCCTGACCCAGAGGGGCTGTGGGAGACCACTCCCTGGCGTCACTCTGGCTGAGAGAGAGGCCCCTTCCCCCCCCACACACACCCTGGGCGAGGAAGTGACAGGGGCTGGAGCCACTGGCCCCAGGGACCAGGGCTAACACTCCTCCCTTCCCGCCGCTGCCGGCTTGCAGGCCGGGCTGACTTCCCTAGCAACGGGGCTGGAGATTCTGAGCGGAAATGGTGACGTCTGGGGGCTGCCCACCTGCCGCTGCTCCGCGGGCCAGGGCCTCTCTCCCCTTCCTCGTCTCTCTCTGTGTCTGGGGGCTGCGCGGCTCTTCTGCCCGGCTCCGGTCCCGTCGCCGGGTGTGGGGGTGTGGCGTGCTGGGGCTCTGGGGTGAGCGGGCCCTTTGTGAGGCTGCAGGGCCCCAGGGAGCAGGTGATGCAGGCCACCCGCCCGCGTCGTCACCCACGGGGACACGCCCCGCGCACGGGGACACAGAGGCCCGTGAAGCAGGTGCCGGTGAACAGAGAGGTTGCCCAGGGTGCCAGGTGCCGGCCTGTGAGCCAGTGGGGCGGCGCCTGCACCTGCAGCCGGGGCCGAGCCTCCTCCGCTCACGCTCTTTGCGTGAGCCCAGTGACGCTGTCACAGTGCTGACCGGTGAGCGGTGGCCAGCTTCCTGGGCCCTCGCGCTTCCTAATCCCCCCCCGTCTGCCCGTCTGATCCTTCCGGGCAGCCTCTTTGGGGCTGGGATTACCACTGTCCCCAGGGGGCAGCGTGACTTCCCCCAAAGGCCATTCCTGTGGCCAGGGTGCTGCTCTTTCCGTCGACAGGTTGCGGCCTGACAGCCCCTTGCCCACAGTGAGACCGCGCGCGGCCTGAGCGGGGGCAGGGGCGGGCAGGGGGTATCCCGGCTGTCCTCTGTGGGCCCCCGGCCCTGCTCTGTGGAGACTGGTTCCGTCTCCTCCGTCCGTCTCCTCCGTCCGTGTCTAGCGTGGTGGAGAATCGGTTTGAGGGGGCTTCGGGGGGCACTTTTCAGAGCCTCTTCCTCTGCCCTCCCCACGTAACTACCTTTTATCGGGCCTCTTGGCCAGGCGCTGCCGCGCACCTCCCCACGCAGCCTCCAGTGAGGGGGTGTTCTTGTGCCCGGCACACAGGTGGTGAGGCTGAGGCTCGGAGAACTTTCTGTAGCCTGCCCGCGGCCGGTGGAGGGGCTAGGCAGGGGGCAGCTACAGCATCTGGAGTCGGAGCTCTGTCCCTCCCAAGGGACAGGGCAGTGACAGCTGGCCCTGCGTGCCGCAGAGCACCTCTGTGTGTCTTGATGTCATTGGGTCCTTGTCACACGGATGCCCTGGGTGCTGTGACTTCACACTTTGCAGATGCAGCCCTAGGCAGTAAGGCAGAGCAGGGGCTCCCCGGGGCCCACATCTGGAAGCTAGGGTGTGCCCCACTCTGGGCAGGAGGGTCATCTGTGCGGTGTGGCTGCCCACTGCAGCTGGGTCCCGGTGGCACCCCCAGAGGTGGAGGTGGCCTGGCCAGGACCCTGGGGCTCACGCAGCTGCCTCCCCTCCCCCGCAGAGCGTCGAGGTTCTTAGGACTGGAGGGGTTAGCCGGGCAGTGGCTGTGCGCACCCATAGGCAGTCGGGGTCAGGTGGGGCCCAGGGCAGGGATCCCCTGGCGTCTGGGCTGGGATTACCCTGCAGACGCCACCTGTCACCACACGTGTGGCCCGGGAGGCTGCTGTGGCCTGCCCGCTCTGCTCTCTGGACCAGGGAGGGGGGGCCCCAGGCTGAGCAGCTGTCTCCGGTCCCCGCCCCTCCGCCTCCTTGGCCCCCATTCCTAGGGACTTTCTTCTGTGAAGCACAGGAGGGGGTGGGGGTGCTCCCCGGGAGCACCATGTCTGCAGCCTGGAAACGGGCCTGGCAGTCGGTCCTGGACCCTGATCGCTGTGGGCCCTGTGGCCTGAGGCACCGGTGCCCCCACGCCTGAGCCCTGAGATACCAGGGGCCGGCGGCCCCGGGTCCCCCCAGGGGCCGGCTGGAGCCCAGGGATCTGGTGAGTGTCAGGACCCGCAGGGTGCGGCGGCTTCTCCTGGAGGGCCGAGGCCGAAGCCCCGTGGCCTCCTGGTTGGTCCTTCTGGTGGACGCAGAACGTCCGGTCGGGATTCTCGCCCTGCCGGGTCCTGCCTCCCGCATCCCTTCCCTGGTTTCCGTGCTCGGGGCGGGGGTCGCGCAGATGCCTCCCTGCTGACTCGGCTCTTCCCTTGCGCACAGGTCCCAGCCGACGCACACGACCGTCAACTGCTGGTTCTGCAACCACGACACGGTGGTGCCCTACGGGAACCGCAACTGCTGGGACTGCCCCCACTGCGAGCAGTACAACGGCTTCCAGGAGGTGCGCCCTGGCCCCTAACCCTAACCCTAACCCTAACCCCCTTCCCACCCCGTCCCGTCCAGGGCCGGCGGGCTCTGCCCTCACCACAGCCCTGGGCCTGGGCACCAAGGTGACGCGTCCAGGGTCGTGCCACTGACGCTGGCAGACTTGGCCTCATAGCGTGGGCACTGGCTCCACTTTGCCCCTGACCGGGGGCCGGCGGGCTCTCTGCAGAGGCCGGGGGGGACACCAGGCCCTGCAGGCTCCACGGTCTCTGTGCCCACCGCTCTGCTCTGCCCGAGCCACCACGCAAATGAGCGCGGGCGGCTGGGGCCCTGGAGGGTTCAGTCCACGGCCGCCGGCACCACGCCGCGGCTCCCGGCTGCGTTCCCGCTGGCCTGCCGGGCTTCCTGTCGAGGTTTCTGTGGCGGGCGAGCTTCTGCTGTGTGTTGCATGGGAAGGGTGGGACCACCCGAGGCCTGCTGCCCCTCTGTGGGGAGCCGCCGTGGAGACTCGCCCGCCGGGTCAGAGCTCCCCGCCGACTCTGTCCCCCCTCCCCCAGAACGGCGACTACAACAAGCCGATCCCCGCCCAGTACCTGGAGCACCTGAACCACGTGGTGAGCAGCGCGCCCAGCCCCTGCGCCCCCGCGCAGCCGCAGGCGCAGCAGTGGGTGAGCAGCCAGGTGCTGCTGTGCAGGCGGTGCAGCCACCACCAGACCACCAAGATCAAGCAGCTGGCCGCCTTCACGCCGCGCGACGAGGTGAGGCCGGGCCGGGGCGGGGGGGGGGACAGGGGGGGTCTGGGCTGCTTGCGAGGAGCAGCGAGGGCAGCACCAGCACGCGCAGGGCTCCCCGGACAGCACCCACGGGCCCCTCCCCGTGCCAGCACCACATTCCGGCGTGTGGTCTCCTGCCGCCAGTGGGAGCACACTTCCTCCCCCTCTGCCTCGTGGTCCTGCCTCTCTTGGCTCCAAGCCTGGGAACATCGCGGCGACCCGCTGCCTGCCGGTCCAGGCCGGCCTGTGCCAGCTAGCAGGTAGCTCTGGCTGGGGTCCTGTCAGGTGCATCTTGTCTGTGTCCCCCTGGGTCGGGCTTGCCTGCTGGCTGGTTGGACGCTTCACTCCGGAGCTGGCGGAGGAAGCTCCTGGCCTCAGGAGAGGTGGGGAGCTGGGCGCGGCCGAGAGGCTGCAGGGTGGGCGTTCACGTCCCCCCGGCCTGCCGTGGAGCCCGGCAGCCTTACAGCCTGGCCAGTGCTGCCTTCCCGCCCGCAGACCGGTGCTCGTGACCTCAGGAGCTGAGACCCAGAGCTGCTGGCACCTCCCCAGGGCCCAGCCTGGGACTGGGGGCGGGGGGGGCGGGGAGCGAGGGCCAGGCAGGGAAAGGCGGGGAATCTGCAGAAAGAAGGGGCCGCATGTGGCTTGGCAACCAGGACAGCTTCCCTGGCGAGTTCAGTCTCCACAAGGGAGGGTCAGGCCGAGAAGCCTGCCGGCCGCTGCAGGCCGAGATCGTCGGCTGCCCTAGAAACGGGCGGAGGACTGTTGCCGCGTCCTTAGGAGGACGAAAGGGGTTGGACTCGGTCTTCCAGGCTATTCCTGGAACCCCAGGACCCTGCAACCCCCATGGAGACCAGCCAGGGCCCTCTGGTGCTTTCCAGACCCAGGGTTCACAGGAGGGGCCTGACCCGGGAGTCCGTCTGCCCAAGTCTGGGCAGCGGCAGCCCAGAGCCGCCGCCTCCTCCGCTGGCCGCCCTTCTGGAGCGCCGGGCCTGAAGCAGGGACCGCAGTGAGAGCCCCTGGCTTCCACGGGCACCCTCCAGAGCACAGAACTTGGCCGCGGTGTCTCCCATCACTGTGGGTCCCTGCTGCGTCCTGCGTCCTGGGCCAGCCCGTACCCCCGGTAGCCTCTGTCACCGTACTCAGCACGCTGTCCGTCCTGCTGGGCAGTGGGAGAAGCAGGATCGGGGGGCGGTTTGCCCTTGGCCGGGCACCCCACTTGGGAGCGAGCCCAGGCTCGACGCGCTCGACAGGGGCGGCCTCAGCTGAACCCCAGACCCTAAGCCCCTGTCCCCGTTGCCCCGCAGGGCAGGTACGACGAGGAGATCGAGGTGTACCGCCACCACCTGGAGCAGATGTACAAGCTGTGCCGGCCGTGCCAGGCGGCCGTTGAGCACTACATCAAGCACCAGAACCGCCAGCTGCGCGCCCTGCTGCTCAGCCACCAGTTCAAGCGCCGGGAGGCGGACCAGAGCCACACGCAGGTCGGGGGGGGGGTGCCCACGGGACGTTTGGGGGTGTCCCAGCCCTCAGGCTTGTGCAGGAAGCCCCTCCCAGAGGGTGGGCTCCCCTGCCGGAGGGCTGCTCTCCAGAGCCGAGACCCTCTTCCCTGGGGAAGCGCCGCCCCATGGGGACCTGTCTCCACCCCGACCCCAGGCCCCTTGGTGCCAACAGCCGAGCGGGTGTCCCGGGAACAGGGGCTCCGTGTCGGGGCCGCCTGTTGTCCGCGTGTTTGCCGGGGTCTGCGCTGCCCTGCTGTGCCTGGGCACGCCCTCGCGCCTGCCGCTTGTTCCCGCGGCACGGCACCCTGCGGCGGCCACGTGCCCAGCTCTGCGGCCGCCACTCGCAGCCACGGACACCGCACGGGGAGGTGTGGTGACCACAGAGGGCCCCGCACCCCGTGTGCCGAGGCACCGGGATTTGAGCCCAGGACGGTGTGGCTGAAATTTTCCACCATGGTGTTCAGTTGGTGGAATGTTCCAGTTTTTAAAATACAGTAGCAAGTAGATTTAGACATAAAAACCACCCCCCAAAAAGAAATTCCTCCCCACCCACTCGGGTCCCCGGATGTGCCCTGTGTCCAGTCGGCCTGTGGTTCTAGTGTGCAGCCAGGCCCCTGACTGCTGGCCACGCCGCCAGCCGCGTGCCCGAGCGTGCGCAGCGGGACGCTCGGGCCTGCGGTTTCCTCCTGCCGCCGCGTTCCTGGGCTGAACCGCGCGCTGCTGTGGGCTTTAACTTTGGCCGGAGCGGTCTGTGCGTTTATTACAATCCCAGTTAACGTCCCAGTGGGAGTTTCTGGTGAGGATTTGACAAAGTTATGGAAAGCTTTATTTGAGAGAATAAGGTCACCATACTATGAAAATGGCTTCTTTAAGAACGTGGTAGCCCCTCACCCCCACAGGGTCACGCTCGCAGGGGGTACGACCCGGGAACGGGCGGTCCCGGGGGGCTCGGTGCAGAGCCCAGAGCAGAGCTGAGCTTGTCCGAGAGTCTGGTGAAGACGGACTCGCTGCTCACCGGTCCCGGGGCGGGGGGAGGGGGGTCCCCGGTGAGTGCCGTGGGGCCCCAGCCACGCTGACCAGCGTCTCCCGCCCACAGAGTTTCTGCTCGTCCGCGGCGAAGGCCCCGGCCCAGGTCATCATGCTCCGCGCCCTCGCCTTCCTGGCCTGCGCCTTCCTGCTGGCCACCACGCTGTACGGCGCCAGCGACCCCTTCGCCCCGGGGGGCACCCTGCCCCCAGCTCTGCCCCCCGGAGGCAATGGCTCTGCCACCCCCGACAACGGCACTGCCGCCGGGGCGGAGGGCTGGCGCCAGCTGCTGGGCCTGCTGCCGGAGCACGGGGCGGAGAAGCTGCGGGAGGCCTGGGCCTTCGGGCGGAGCCACCAGACCGGCGTTGTGGTGCTGGGCCTGCTCACCTGCCTGCTGGCCATGCTGCTGGCCGGCCGCATCAGGTGCGTGTGGGCCAGGCGGCTCTGCCGCTGGGTCGGGAGACCAGCCTCAGACAGGGCCCGGGGAGGACAGTGCCGGGGCGGAGCCGGGAGGTCTGCTGGGCACGCGGCCGAAACCCCATGCACCCCTCCTCCCAGCAGCTGGGAGTCTGGTGGGCGACACTAAATGAATGACTTGGCTTTGGGAGGGGCGAGGGAGGCAGCGCCTCTGACCCTCGCCTTCCCGCCCGCGGCAGGCGCAGGCCCTGGTCCGGCGATGTCCCCGCCATCTCAGTGGCTCTGGGGGCGGTTTTGGAGCCCCGCAGCGTGGCTAGTGCGCTGGGCTCAGAGTCACGTGGGTGCAAGCGCTGGGGGCGGGTAGAGGGGCCCGCGCACTCCTCTTGGCTCTGGGTCCCGACCTCTGAGCAGGGTCGGGTGGGGGCGGGACGAGGCAGGACAGGGAGGGGTCTCGTCCCGCGGAGACGGGCCCTCACCCGCGCCCCGCTCTCCCCGCAGGCTCCGGAGGATTGACGCCTTCTCCGCCTGCCTGTGGGCCCTGCTGCTGGGGCTGCACATGGCCGGGCAGTACCTGCCGGCGGCCTCGCCCAGCTGGCTGGACACGCTCAAGTTCAGCACCATGTCCCTGTGCTGCCTGGTGGGCTTCACGGCAGCCGTGGCCACGAGGAAGGCGACAGGCCCGCGGAGGTTCCGGCCCCGAAGGTCAGAGCAGCAGCAGTGACTGCGGGGGGAGGACGGACGGATGGACGGACAGCCCCAGAGCTTGGCCCCGGCCCCAGGCAGGGCGCTTCTCTGCCGCGCTCCCAGCTCTGCCGAGCTGGAGACCCCGGGCCTGCCCCTCCCCTTGCCCTTCTACACCAGTAAGTCATCCCCATCTGAGACCTTGCCCCAGTGCCCCGTAGCTGCTCCCACTGCCACCGTCTGTCTGGCCAGAGACCCCTCGTTGCCCTGAGGCCAGAACACAGGCGACACCCACAAGGCCTGCCCACGACCTGTGGCTTCCGAGCAGCTGCAGGTGTCCGCATGTCGGCCACGGCCCTGGCCTGCCTCCGACACCGCGGGCTGAGGGCCATGGGCCTGCCGTGTGCTCCTCCCTCCGCCAGCCCCCTCTCTGGGCTCCTGACACGGGCTGGCCCCCCTGGCTGCAGGCTGGGCCCCTACCGCATGGCCTGACCGCTCGGGCAGCTGGACACGGGCAGGCGCTGCTGAGCAGGCCCAGAGGAGAGCCCGCACTTCGTCCCCATCGCCTCCCCGGCCGGTCCCTTTGGTCCTGCCCAGTGCCCGGCCTCCTTCCCCAGGGGTGGGGGGAGCCGTTCTGGGGCCCAGACTGGCCTTGACCCTGAGTTTGTAGGGCAAGGCTCTCCTCACGGTGAGGAGTGGGGAGTCTGCCTCTGCCGTGGTCGGCAGGTTCCTCGGCGGCTGTGGCGGGGGTTGGCCAGGCTGGGGAGCCTGCGAAGGCCCTTGTGCACCTATTTCTTCGGCACGATGGGGCCAGGCAGGCGGACCCAGGGCACGCGTGCCCCGCCCGCCCTCCTGGAGGGCCCTGGCTCTGCCCTGGAGCGTCAGGACCCCGGCCCACATGGCTGGGCCTGGACGGCTTTCGTAGGCCGCGCCAGCACCCCCCCGATACCGGGGACATCCCCAGCCCTCTGCTCACCCCTCCCTCTGTGTGGAGCCCGGAAGACGATCTAGTTGCCCAAGGTTGGCACAGGGTAGGCGGCCCCAGAGATGGTGCAGGCCCCTGAGGATACCAGGTCATTTGTCACTTTGTCCCTCTGGCCTGTCACTGTCACCTTTCTGCAGGGCCCCGCATGAGGATGCCGAGGCTCCTGCTTCCCACGTCCGGTGGGGCAGGCCCAGAGCCCCACGGGGGACGCTGTCCTCCTGGAGCCAGCGCTCCAGGGGGTGCTGGTGTGTGGCACAGACCTGCCGCTCACTAGCTGTGTGGCCTTGGCGGGGACACACTGTGGAGACTGGGGGCCTCCTGCGAGGGTCAGGGCAGGAGGGCGACCCCTAAGCAGGCTACACGGCCCCTCCAGGGCCCATGTCCTGGCGCTCGTCACTCGGAGCATAAGCCTCCCTCCACGCCACAGCCCCTGGAAGGCAAAAACGGATCACATAGGCATGAGGGCCACCCTCCGCCCAGGGCCACCAACCAACTGGGCCTGCAGGGCAGGTGGGACAGAGCCCTGGCCAGACGCCCCGTGAGGTCCCAGAGAGCATCTGAGCCCACTGTCACCAATGCTCATGTTCGAGCGGTCCTGGGAGGGCCCTCCCGATCCCCTGCCCCTCCCGGCACCCACGTGTGAAGGGCCCCAGCGGGTTGGGAGCTGCCCTCACTCAGCTGTGTGGCCTCAGAGGAGGCCCTGCCTGCTTGTTCTGCGTGGGGGTGAGGTGGAGACACGCTGACCAGACAGGGAGGTGTGGGAGGGGCCGAGCCGGGACCCGACCCTGCACCCTAGCCAGCCTGCCCCAGGGCCGGTGGAGAGCCAGGGGTCAGCGGGCCGGGCTGTGCATGCCCTCGCGTCTGGAGTCTGCCCGGGAAACTGACGGCGTGACGCTAATTACTGCTTTTGTTGGCATTGAGTAGAAGCAGGACATCTGTGTGTATGTGTGTATTTAAGCTAAGTTATTTATGATAGCCACGACCAGCTCTCTAGCTGGCCAGGAGCCCTGCTGAGCAGATGCGTGGCCTTCCCCGCTGGCGGGGGTGGGGAGGCGCCCTCAGGAGACGACCTCGTCAGGGGAAGGCTTCCTGCCGCCTTGGGGTTCCACGTGACTCTGTAGTGACTTGTCTGTCCCTGAAATGGCCGTCACCTGGAGCGCACTCTAGCACCTTCTGACGCCACTGGCACGGCCAGGAAGTGCAGGCACCGCTGGGTCTGCGATGTGTTAACTGTGACCATGTCGCCCCCGCCAGGGACCTCTGTCCCCGAGACTCGAGGGAGGAGGTACCGTGGTGGCTTCCGCCCCCCCAGCGTGTGGGGTCCCCACCCCGGGCCCAGCAGGCACCTCCGTAACAGTCGCCCGGGAGGAGCAAGCGGCTGGCCCGGGGAGGAGCCTGTCCCCACGCGACTGTGCAGAGTGACGACTGTCTAGCGACCCTCTGACGACTGTAACCCCACCTCCGGCCCCAGCCCCAGCCCCGTGTGTTCCGTGCTGTATCTTAAATAAATGCCTCCGGGGCCCTGCCCCGGCCGGTGGGCGTCAGGTACCGCGTCTTTTTTGTTTTTTGTCTCCTGTTCCTTCTGAGGTTTCTGTGCCGAGGGCGGGGGCCTTGGGGCGCAGGCGTTGCCCGCAGGAGTCAGGCCCGGGAACTGGGGACGTGGGCATGGAGAGGCACAGGGCCTGGCTGTCCTCACATGCCCTGCCAGGAGGCGGGGGGGGGGGCGGGGCTCGGGGATTCTCCCCGTCTCAGCACACTGCTGGAAATGCCCCAGCCCCGGGCTGGGGTCTGGCTGGAATGGACCCATCCCTCGCAGTGCCGGGTGGGACGCAGTGCAGGCACCCAACCCTTCCTCTGTCCCCATGGGTGACAGGCTTGGGTTCTGGGCTGGGTTCCTGTTTGAGGCGGGGTTGGAGGTTGGGGGGCCCAGGGTAGCCCCAGGGCCTCGACAAAGGGAGCGTCGGCTCCTGGGAAGCTTCTGGGGGCTGGTGGAGACGGGGTTCCTTTAACAGGAGGCTCCTGGGCGACCGGTCCCCGCAGGACCCGGTATTTGAGGGATGTCCCTGGGTGTCACGGCGAGAGGGGGGAGACCATAGAACTGTCTCCCCTCAGCGCCGGCATTTTTAGTGGCATCAGAGGCGGGACCGCCTGTGCTACGTGAAACCGGCAGCTGGCTCAGACCCCTCCTCTTGCTGCTTGTTGGGGGTGGCCCTCGGGAGGACCGCCCGGTAGAGGAGGTGCGGGAAGCCGGCTCTCCCCCGCTGCCGTCTGCTGGGAGGGGCTGGGCGCGGCCTCTGCTGGTCAGGCTGCCGCTGCACAGGACGCACCTGGTCCTCAGGGAGGCACGGCCTAGCAGGGGCAGCTCTGCCTACAGTCAGAGCGAGCCGGCTGAAGGGCCTGGCGGGCCTGGACTGCCCATGCGGGACTAACGTCTCCCCCTCCTGCCGAACAGTTTGAATTCTGTCGAGATGTTTGAGGGTGGGGCCTGCCCCAGGTGTCCCCAGGGCACGGAGGTGGCTGTCGGACAGGCTCCGGGGCGGGGCAGCGGGTGCAGCCTCAGCCAGCCGGGGCGGCTTGATGAGCTCCTGCCTCGATCTCTCCACATCCCTGAACCCTGGGCCTGCCTTTGGTTTTGTTGAAGCCCCAGTGGCCTGCTGGCCCTTCGAAGGACATTAAAAAGGATCGCCGGGAGGGCAACACTGACCCTGCACTTTCCTCAAAGCCGGTGCAAAGGGAGGGACGAGGGTGGAGAATGGCAAGGAACTCGGCAGAGTGCAGCTTGGCCGGCGGCGCCCCGGGGGTGCAGTCCAGGTGGGCCCGGGTGGGTCCCTTAGCCGCCCCGGCCCCGCTGCAGGGCCCGGGCCAGCGTGCCTGCTCGTCGGCACATTGTCCGCGGGCTCCTTTGCCCCTTGGGACCGAGGTAAGGCTGGAACTCCCGCAGCTCCGTCCAGATGGAGGACGGACTAATGCATTAACTGTCTCTGCCCCTCCCCCCTCTGTAATCAGTTGCCTTAATCGGAAGCATGGTTGACATTCCGGCTTGGGGCCACCGGGTCCTGTGGTGTGATCTGTACCATTCTCGCGTTAAAGAGACACTGTCCCCTTCCGTCTGCTGGGCAGCCTCGTGGTCGCTTACGGGTCTTCTCCAAGTCCGAGTTTGGCTTGTGTGCCGCATGTCTTTTCGTGGGGACCCTGAGCCTGACCACCCCGCCCCCCTGCTCTACAAGGGGGCTTCAGATGAGTGCCCAGCGTCCGAGGCCAGAGAGCGCAGTGGGACCCCCGGGAAGCAGGGGCCCCCTGAGCTCGGCCGCTGCCAGGAGGCCCTGGGCGCGAGCAGGCGAGGCAAGGAGGGGCCCGAGGCCACCGGCCAGTACCGCGCCTGGCCTGGGGCTGAGCGCTGGTGCTTCACGGCGGAGGGCCGGCGTGAGGTTGGCAAGGGCGACAGTGTCACTTTAATACCGAGACTCGTAGTGGAGCTAGTTTGCTGTGACGCTGAGGGGGGTTGGAGGGGGCATGCAGGGAGGGGTGGGTCACGCTGGCACCTCCCGGCCACCCGATCCTAATGGTGTGAATGTGGTCGGACTGCTTCTCCGCTTCAACTAACGCACGCCTCCTCTGGGACCCCGACTCGGGCCCCACCTTGCACGGGGGGCGGGGGCGGAGCTGGGCGGAGGCCGCCTCCAGCGCCCTCCACGCTGACCCTCCTCCACTCTCCCCTGCCCCCCGGGCTCTTGCAGGTACCTCCCCGGAGACCCGGCCGGCCTCTTCCCCGCGTGCCCCAGCCTGGCCGTGCCCTGCCCCGGCGTCCCAGGCTCTCCTCCATCTCTGCTGCTCCCCGCCCCGCCCGGCCTCCTGCCCCTCGCCGGCCAGCCGCTGTTCCGCTCCCCCCGACGGGCCTCGCCCTCCTCGCTGCCCGGCCGCCTCAGCCGGGCGCTCTCGCTGGGGACCCTGCCCTCCCTGACCCGGACAGGTAAGAGGCACGCGGGCGTCGGCGGGCCGTGCTGGACTGTGGGCAGCTGGGCACAGGGGCTCCGGCTGTAAAAATGGGAGGAGATGGGTTCAAGTCCTGCTACGTCCACTCAGGGGCAGCCGTGGGCCGAGGGACTGACTTCACCACTCCGAGCCTCGGTTTCCTTCAAGAGAAAGGAGCCCCACCCGTGGGTGGCTGAGGGTCAGCGAGACGATGGATTTGGAGCGCTTGCCGGGGCAGCGGCACCCAGCAGGCGCTCAGCACAGGCTCACACCCTCTGGGGCGCTCTTGTACCACCGTCCTGGCCCTGGTTGTCACTGCTGCTGGCTGTCGGCCCCAGGGACTAGAAATCCTGCCCCGGCCTCTTGTGTGGTCCCAGCGGCAGGACTCAGTGCAGCTCGGTCACACATGCTGAGCGCTGGCTGCACGGAGACCCTGGCCTGACCGAGCCCTGGTCCTTGCCACGGAGACTGTCTCCTGCTTCGCTCGTCCCCGCAGGCTCTCCCTGGAAAGGCCGCTGTGAGTGCAACCCGGTGTTTCCTTCCCAGAGTGCCACGCAGGGTCTGAGCCGGTCCTCAGTGCTGGGGCAGCCGACTCGCAGGGGCTGGGTGTGCCTCACCCTGGGGGGCCCTGGAGTGGGCTCCCCGGGTCCTAGGCCTGAGGCTGCCGGGCAGGACCCCGTCCCCTGAGAATGCAGGCGCCTCCTGGTCACACGGGCTCGCTGACACACAGTCACTGCCTCACCTGAGCCCCTCGGCACTGTGCCGGGCGGGGGTTCCAGCTCAGCCAGACACCCCTGTGAGCCTCAGTTTCCTTCCGTGATGTGCCTGGGGTCCTGCCGCTGCTGGGAGGCGGGGCTGGACCCCGCTCAGGCCCGTGGCCCTGCCGTGTGCAGGTGGGGGTCCTCGCGGGGAGGGGGCGTCACGTGCACACACCATAGGAGGGACGGCTCGCAGGGGCCCAGCCCTGGGGCTGCACAGTGAACAGAGTTCGGGGCCTCCGGGATGGGATTGAGGGCGGGGTTGCCTGGAGTGCACGGACCTGGACTCCGGGTGCGTCTGGGTAACCGCCTGTGGCCGGGTTGCTGGGAGACGGACGGCTGCCTGTGCCCCTGCCAGGAAATCATTAATTAGCAGAGCTCCTGAGTGTCTGCACGCGAGTCACAGCTGAGAGCTGGCCCGGCTCAGGCCCTGGTGCTCATGGGGCCTCCTGGGCTCTTGGTGAGCGGCAGCTGGGGCCGGGGGACCATGGCCGCCCTGGACAGGGGAGCCTGGGCGGCCTGGCAGCTGGCCCCTCCCCGAGAGACTGTGTCTGGAGCCGCCCAGCAGGAGCCGGGGTGGGGGTGCGGTGTGTTTGGGCCGACGCCGATGCAGACCGTCCTGGCGGGGGAGTGGGTAGCAGGCTGCCAGGGGGCGGGCACTCTTCCTCTCGGTTTGTTTTTGAAAAACTGAAATGACTCGGGTTCATTGGCCTTGGGGTGAACGGAAGGTGTGGATGGACAGGTCGGATTTCGGGCCGTGGGGGCAGAGAGGTGGGCGCCGGTTGTCTCTGCGGCCTGACCCGCGCCCCCTTCCTTTCCCCCAGACTCAGGCTACCTGTTCAGTGGGAGCCGCCCGCCGTCCCAGGTGTCTCGAGCCGGGGAGCTTCCCCTTTCAGGTAAGGAGACCAGAGAGTCCACGAGAGGAGGGCCGGGGAAGCCACCCCTGGTGGCGGCAGCATGTGGGCGGGGTTTCCAGAGCCCCGTGTGGGGTGGGACCGAGGGGGGGTTAGGCGGGAGCCTAGGGTCCCGCAGGCGCCTGTGGTCAAATCCCAGCGCTGTGCCTCCCAGCTGCGCAGCCCTGGGCACGTGACTGACACCCCTGGGCCTCAGTTTCCTCTTCTGCGAAATGGGTGTGGTGGTTTCTAGGGTTAGAGGCACTGTTGTCGTCCTCACCATTGACCGCTGCGGGGGATGGTGTGCTCGGGGCCCGTGGTCAGCGGGGCGTGGGTGAGCTGACCTCAGGTCCCGAGAGTTGGTGTCTGTCCGGGCCTTGCTCTCAGCTGAGGGAGACACCAGGGCTTTGGTAGAATCAGGAGGCAGAGGGGACACGGCTGAGGGTCCCGCGGGCTCCTCTCCCCCTGTGCCCCAGTCTGTGCGCAGCCCTTTCTTCCCGGGTCAGCAGGGAACAGAACAGCCGCCGCAGCTTTCCCTAACGGTCGCGAGCACTCACACGTCACCGGCGTTGTCTTTGTCCTCCTCCCGCCCTCCAGACTACTTCTCCCTGCTGTCCGGGAGCTGCCCCTCCTCCCCACTCGCCTCCCGCGCGCCCTCCGTGGCCGGCTCGGTGGCCTCCAGCTCTGGCTCTCTGAGCCACCGCAGGCCCCTCATCAGCCCTGCCCGGCTCAACCTGAAGGGGCAGAAGCTGCTGCTGTTCCCGACGCCCCCCGGGGAGGCCCCCAGCACCCCCAGCAGCTCCGACGACCACTCGCCGCACAACGGCAGCCTCTTCAGCCTCGAGCCACCCCAGGCCCCTCGGAGGCAGCCGGCGCAGGACACGAAGCATACTCTGGGTACGCCCCGCCCCCCCCCCCCCCGACCCCTCTCTGGAGGCAGGAGGGCCCACGGGGCTGTGGGAGCTCCTCATGACCAGTGCCGGGACGGGGGGAGTGGGGCAGGGGCACACCCGTCAGCAGGCCGCACGGGGCCAGCCCTGGATCTTAGCCGAGTGTGCGAGGCCACTCTCCCAAGCCCCAGTAGCCCCTGGCCTGGCTTCCCGTGACCTTGAACCCTCCGGGACACTGCCCTTTGTTGGCTGACTTTATTTTCATGTTTTGCAATTGACCTGAAAGGCCGTCTGTTCCTTCAGGTGGATCAGAAACACATCACGCCATGCCAGGCTGCACCTGCTTACAGATATTTTTGTTTTGCTCAAATAATGTTGGTCTGCAAAACACTTAAATTTTATTAAAATTAGGCCTTGACCTCGAAAATCCGGAATTTTCCCATGACTGTGTGGGTTTCCTGAGGCTCTGACTATGTGGAAGATCTGGTCCCACTGGCCCCGAGCCCTGGCCAGCCTGGTGGAAGGGCAGGCAGAGGGCCCTGGTCCCGCCCCCCGCCCCGTAACCCCCTGGAAGCTGTGCTGTGGCCGTCGCCGGCCAGCCCCTGTTGGCGGTGGCGTTCGCTGCACCTGACCCAAAACCAGCGCCCTGGCAGCCAGCAGCTGCGGTGGGAGAGCCGGTGGGGGTGGATGCGATTGGTCCTGCCCCAGGGGCGCGCCGGGAGCGCCCACTGAGCCCCCCTTCTCTGTGCAGACATGAGGTCGGTGCCGGAGAGAAGCAGCGCCTGCAGCAGCCGCTCCATCAAGAAGGAGGACGACTCCTCACAGTCGTCCACCTGTGCGGTGGACACCACCACCAGGGGCTGCCCCGAGGGGGCCGCCGCCTGGACAGGTGCGTGCGGGTTTCGGGAGGGGCGCTGGGCAGCCTGGGGCCTCGGGTCTGCAGCCGCCGTCACCTCCCGTTCAGTCTGGGACCCTGACGGAGAAGGACCCTCGAGGGGGGGCCTTGAGGGACGGAGGACGGTTAGGTGACCCGCCCAGCGCCTTGGGGACCCAGCCTATGGCCCAGCAGGTGGCAGCCCCACCCTCTGACTAGGTCTGAGTCTGTGCTCTCAGTTACCGCAGCCTCTGGGTACAGATGGCTGGTTAAATTTAACAAAATTAAAGTTTGGTAACAGTGAAAGTTTAGTTCCTTGGCTGCACCAGCCACGTGGCCACAGATGGCCCGTGGCTGCTTACCTCCGAGGCCGGGGCCGGGGCCGCGTTACCTAAAGCCCCATTTCCTGTCTGTGAAGCGAGGTCACTCCCTGCCCCCGTCACCAGGGTGCAAGCGCAGGGCGCCCTGGCCAGTGCCTGTCTGCCTGGGGGCATGGGCTCAGGAGACAAGGCCCCCTCAGGGAGGCACAACCTAACCAGATGACCCCGTTTCGGGGTGTCTTTCTGGGTGGGGAGGCCTCTGGGCACAAGGAAGGAGCTGGGGGCGGGGCCTGCGGGCCCCACAGCGCCTCTGGCGGCCCAGGGGGCGTTCAGCTGCACAGACACCCCCACCCCGGGTTCGTCTTCTGACCTTCATGCCTTTGACGGGGTCTCTCCGCTCTCTCCAAGGTCGTTTCGGCCCCTCCCTGGTCCAGGGCCTCCTGGCCGTGAGCTTGGCTGCCAACGCCCTCTTCACCTCGGCCTACCTGTACCAGAGCCTGCGCTGACCCCAGGGCCTCTGGCGCCCGCGGGGTCCCAGAGGGCGCACCCAGGTGCATGCTGCCGCCGCCACTGCCGCCTCGGAGCCTCTTCCTGGGGCCCTGGACCAACTGCCTGGAGTCCTGGCCCCGGGACCCCTCCCCCACCACCGGACTGAGGGGCTGGCCTGGGCCGTGGGGCCGCCCTCCCCCGCCCACCTCTGGACTCACATCAGTCGTGTTTGGTGCTGCCCGAAGCCAGGGGTCCGCCCCGGGGCTGCCCGGCCCTGGGGCCCCTTCCCCCAGCCCCGCCCTGCCTGTGCGGGCCGCCCCTGCACCACGGCCGTGGGCACGTCGCAGTACTGTACTCCCCGGACCACCGGGCGCTGCAGGCCCCCTGGGGAGGCCGGGGGGGGGGGCCCTTGAGGACGAGCGTGCTCTGCCCGGTCCTGCCCCTCCTGCTGGCCTTGGCCAGGCCTGTCCTCCAGCCGCTCTGACGGGCAGTGGGGTCCCTGGCCCCGGGCACCTCCATTCCTGGGTCTTGGGGGCCCAGCTGGGCCTTCAGGACTAGTCTAAGCACCTCACCCCCAGACCCCTTTCTGCCCAAGTGCACCCCTGTTCTGTTACCTCTGGTGACCTTCCCAGGCAAGCAGCCTCATCACCCTGAGAAACTACCCAGGACCCGGCCTTGTGTGCTGCCTCAGGGGCCTCACCCGACCCTCAGCCACGGACTGCCTGGGCAGCCCGCCGTCACCAAGGAGACCGGGCCCGACCCACCCTGAACCTGGCTCCTTTCAGCCGCTGAGACCCCTCCTTCTCCCCTTATGTTCTCCTGTCACTGTGGCCTGAGCGTGACCTCCTGTCTTTAGGCCACCGTGGCTGGCTTTGCTCCCCAGCTCCCCTTAGCCCCGGCCACCTCCGTGACCACCCCCGCAGGCGTGCCCGCACCCTCATCCTGGTGCTGGGGTCCCATCGTGCCTCTCGGGAGGAAGCAGGGAGCTCGGTCCTACACGGGGACCCTTGCAGAGCCATGAGGGGGAAGGGAGCGTGGGTGTCAGGCCCCTGTCCCTGCCGCCCTGGGCCTCGGACGCCAGTGTGCATGTGCGTGACAGTGCACACACGTCTGCCACGTGGGGAGGAACTGGCGGCCTGGAGGAACTCAGACTTGGGGGTCCCGGGGGCAGGAGGAAGGGTCTTCACTCTGTCATTCAGGGATAAAGTTCCATTTTATTTTTCTACACGTCTCTGCCGGGGAAGGCATCGTGCTGATCAGCAGGTGCCCCGAGTCTCCCTGCCAGGGAGGTCTAGTTTTTTTAAGCTTTGGGTGCTTTTTTAGTAATTTTTTTTACCACGTGGGGAAGGAGACTGCTCTGACTTCCCTCCCTCTCTTCCCCCCACTCCTGTCCCGAGAGCGCCTGTGCCCTGCCCTGCCCCCGCCCAGACCGGGGGGGCCGGGGGCCACACCAGGACCCTGAGTCCAACTGCCCTAAATGGTTCCAACTCAGAGACGGTGTCTCTTGGCCCCCGTTTGTACAGTGGGCGCGTGTGTCGACTTTTTAACTTTATTTTTTGCCTAATAAAGCCAAACTCCATTCTCGAATGCACTTCCTCTCTGGCTCTGAGGAAGCCCAGTGCAGATCGCCCACGCTGCCCCCCACACAGGCCTGGCCCCCCAGCCCAGGGCCAGGGTCCCGCACCCCGCAGAGGAGGAGGGGGGAGGCTGGGCAGGAAGGGCTTTGCTTAAACAAAAAACACCACCTTATTTTTCTTTACAAAAGCAAAAAAAAAAAAGGGAAACGAAGAGATACCGACCTTTGAACTCGTCTTTATCTGCTTTGCAGCTGGAGAAGGACCCCGTCGTGGGGGGGGGCAGCTGTTTCTTTAGGAGCTGGGGGTGGGGTCCCCTGTGCCCAGAGACCATGTTTTCTCCTGAGCCCACTCCGTGTGGCCGGCAATCCAGCAGCAGGGCTCAGCACCAGCCCCTCCAGGCAGACCCCCGGGCCCGGCCAGGGGTCCCATCCAGGCCTAGGGGCTGGGCTGCAGTCAGCCGGCCCGGTGTGGGTGGGCACCGATGGAGCCCCTGGCGACGCCGTCCTGGCCCTGTGCTAAGCCAGGATCCCTGGGGTGTGGGCCTGCCACCCAGGGCTGAGGGGCCACGACTCAAACACCATGACTCAAACACTGCCTGATGCGGGAGCCCCGCTGCCTGTCAGCGACTGGCCCAGGCCCGTGGGGGGGCGGCTGGGCAGCGGCTTCTACACCTGACCCTGGGACAGCAGAGCCAAGCAGCCCGCAGACGGCCCCCAAAACACCTCCGATCCACTGACCTCAGGGTCCGTGTCCCCTGAGGCCATGACGTCTGGGGACCACAGGAAGCCCACTGGGAAGCCCTCCCCCGGTGACTGCCAGGTGCACGTGGAGGAAGAAACGGCTCCAGCCCGACCCTGCGCTGTGGCGAGGGGACCGGGTCGGGGCCCTGGGAAGGCCCTGCCCCCGACGCAGTTTCTGCGAGCGTTTGTGTCCTTCTCAGGCGCGTCCGTGTGGTCTGAAAAGTGATCCCACAACCAGCCCAAACCACGCGTCTGCTCTCCCGCGTGTGCCGCTTTGGGATCTTTGGTTTGGGGTCTGTGGACACACGCTGGCGCCTGATCACCAGCCTGTTTCCACGTGCCGACGCCCTCCTCGTGCATCTCACAGGCCACCTGTGCCTTCTGCCGAGCAGCTGGGAGCCCCGTTGGCCCCCACCCCACCCCCGCTCTCCCGGCCGGGGCACCCTTGTCAGGGACCTGCGTCTGCCGTGCTGAAGGCTTTCCTCGGGGTACCTCTTGAGAGTCGAACCTTTCTGTCAAAGGTTTATCAAGAGTCCAGAGCTTTTTCTCTGTGCCGCCTGATTATGTTCTAGAAAGGTACAGAAAAGGACCTAGTGTTGTTTTTTTTTTTTTTTTTAATCTTTCTGCTGACTTTTGTTCAGGATACCTACCTGCCCCAGGTTACAAGTCTGCTTATTGGGCGGGGCGGGGGGGGGGGGGATACAGGGCGATGGTCAAAATATCGAAGTTCCAGCCATATTTGCAAAGAGCAGATTGTCACTCAGGACCTAGGTCAGGAAAGGTTCTGATTTAAAAAAGAAAAGGTGGAAGGCCACTGCTGACACCCCACCCACCTCCCACCCAGCCATGTGACACACCTGGGCCCTCCACACAGCCAGAGGCAGCACCCCGATGGCTCCTGGCCCCTCTTCGGGGTGATCAGAGGTAGGTGCCCCCCATTAGGAGGCATCTGGGGTGTGTGGCGCGGCCTCATCCCTGGAACACGCTCTTTGTCGTGGCACCTCGGGCATTTGGCCACCGAGTGGGGAAAGCTGCTCTCTGTGTCTGAGGAGCCGAGCACAGCTCAGCTTCGGGGCCGGCACCGGGCTCTCCGAGCTGTGGCCGGCTTGGGTCTCCGTGTCCAGCCCCTGCTCACGGAGCTCGAGCAAGCGGGGCCGCGGTGGAGGGCAGGGGAGAGCCAGGGTGTCCACAGTGCATTCCTTCCTGCATCACCAGCCAGGTCAGGGATGCCCCGGTGTGTCCCGGGCTGTGCTAGGCACGGGCTACAGCGGTGACCGAAACAGGGATGCCCCTGCCTGGGAGGGGCAGAGCAGCCTCAGGCGGGCACCCACCTGGGTCATTACATCAGCACACCTGAAAGCGCTGCGAAGTAGTGTGAACACTCAGGGGGTTGGAGACGAAACTTGAAGGCAAGAAGAGGGATACGACCTTCAGACACAGTAAGTCCGTTTGCAGAGGCCTGGGGCTGGCTGAGGAGAATTGAAAGGTTCCTGCGGCGGCCACCCAGGGGGAGAGAGGACGGCTCAAGGTGAGCCCACGAGAGCAGGGGTCACCCGTGAAGGCCACACAGTACAGATCTCAGGTTCCACTCCAAGCACAAAGAGAGCCAGTGTGGGGTTTGAGCAAAGGAGTGTCGGGAGCAAGAGCGCGTTTTTGAAACATCTCGGGGGAATGTGAAGGCTGGGTGGGAGAAGACCCCAGCGCAGCGGGAAGGCAGGTCGGCGTGGGGGCGGCTTCGGGACTCGGAGGCGAGAAGATGACCGCTGGGACAGGATAGCGAGGGAGCGACACCATCGGGTTCCAGAACAGGCCACTGGACTTGGTGACCGGAGGCGGGGGCCCAGGCCGGACCTTGGGCCCTCATGCGCTCCACTCGCTGCGTGGAGGGGCGCCTCCCTGATCCGGGGGAGCTGGAGCGGGGCAGAGGCGGAGCCTGGGTCTGGACAGCGACTAGTGACTTCCACTTTGAGGGCGCGCCTTGGCGGTAGCTGACGGGACCCACGCTTCCGCCGCTGTGCCCCTGCCCGGAGACCCCTCCCCTAACTGCCCAGCCTCAGCCCCCTCCTTACAGGTGCGCCCACCGCCTTTGAGCGGCCTTGTGGACGGGTGCCCCGTTGTTCTCTCCCGCAGTCGCCCACGATTACCTCCAGTCAGCTAGAAGCAGCGGCTGTCCCCCGACTGCGTGCTCAGCCGCCTCCTGCTTTAGCATGTAATTTCCACCGGAGCGGAGACCTTGGCTCCTATTGGAGGCTCGTTAGATAATTGCCGAGTGAGTGAATGAACAAGATGTCCATTAGGAAGGAGCAGCCAGGAACAATGGATCACTGCTGTCTTAAGGGAACACTGTGTAGGCCAGCAGGGGCCAGGAGGCATCTGAAACCCCCTCCTGAGAAGCCAAGGCCCTTCAGTGGAGGGGGAGAGGGGGCTGGGGGGAGGGGGCAGGGGCAGAAGGCAGCGGGGGCTGGGTCCCAAAGAAGGGCTCCTGCGGCGTGTAGCGCTTCGGCTTGCAAAGGCCAGAGAGACACACGCTCTGGCCTCCCCCGTGAGCTGAAACGGGTGCCCCAGAGGGTCTCCTGGGCTGGCCGGCGGGGGTGGCCCTGCATGCAATACACCTTCAGGCTCACACTGGGGTCATGGAGAACGGGTCTCAGTTTTGCCCCTTTGTCTTTCTGGACCCATTTAGGGAAAGGAGCCTGCCACCCACACTCAGAGGTGAGGAGGCCTCTTGGTGTAAGACTGGGCTGGGGGTCGGGTGCCGGAGTCTCGAAACGGGAGGGAGCGGAGATGGGCATTTTCCTTTCTTTTTTTTTTAAGATTTTTATTTATTTATTTTTAGGGAGGGAAGGGAGTGGGGGGGTGGGGAGAGAGAGAGAGAGACATCAATGTGCGGTTGCTGGGGGTTATGGCCTGCAACCCAGTAATGTACCCTAGCTGGGAATCGAACCTGGGACACTTTGGTTCCCAGCCCGCGCTCAATCCACTGAGCTACGCCAGCCAGGGCTTGAGATGGGCATTTTCAAATGTCCTGCTGGGCCTGGCCCCACTGTCCTGCCCCTGCTGGGACCCTAACAGAGGTGAGGCTGGATCTGAGGGCCCGAGGGGAGAGGTGTGTGGGGGTGATGGTCCACACTGGTCACCGGGAGGGAAATGGAGTGGGGCGAGGCTGTGGCCTTGGCCATCGCCTTCGACCCCGGGGGCACCAGAGACCATGGGCAGCAGGGATGGCCCCTCCCTCTGGACCTGAACAGAACTGGGCTGCAGCTGCAGCTGAGCCTGTGGGATATTGTCCTGCCCCCAAAACAAGTAACGACCACCAATAATGCCAAGGAGTGGGTTGTGGGCAGGTAGGCAGCGCCGAGGGGGGCTGGCCGGTTTCCCAGGGAAAGCTCCGGGGTTTGGGGAAACCTCAAGCCATCACAACTGCTCTTGCTGCCCAGAAAAAGCACGTTCGACGTCAAAGACAGCGCCCCCTGCGGCAGGAACGGTGCCGCCGCCTCTGCGGGCTTTGGGTGTGCAGACTGCGGTCCCTGTGTGAGGTCCAGGGGTCCACCTGCCCAGCCCAGCCGCTCAGGGATGAGGGCGCAGGTGAGAATGTATAGGGGTCCTCTTATGGCGCCCCTTGATTCTGAAGGTAGAGTTTTCTGGTGTTTGGTTGCTTTGTTTAAACAAAAGGTGGTTCCGTTTTAGGAGAACCTAGGGAGACCTGAGGCCCAGGTCTCCGAGCGCAGCAGCATCTTCTGTGCGTGGCGTTTTCCTCCATGAAACCGAGTTCAATACGGGCACTCAGCTAGAATCACGTGCGGAAATCAATAAACTAGCAACTGTGCAAACACGGAGGAACCGCCTCACAGCCTGCCGCATCGTAGCCAGAATCGGGCAGCCTGTGTGGCTGGGGGCGGCGCGGGGGAGGGCACACGGCCGGGGCCATGTCCCGTCTCCGCTCTGTGCATTATCAGCACGACTCCAGCTCCCACGGCCCTAGCTGGCCGGCCTCGTGGCCAGAATGTTCCGGAACTGCTGCGTTGCCTCCCCCACTCCCTGTAGACCCCAGGTGGCAAGCACAAGGCCCGCAGGTCGGATCCGGCCCTCCGCCTTGTTTTATCCGGCCCCGCCCGGCACCTTATTTCACCCAGTGGCAGCCGAGCTCTCGCTTAACTGTTAAGGAGTGTTACAGTTACACAGTCCTAACGTTACATTCGGCTCTTTGAAAGCGACCCCGAGGCTGATGTGGCCCCCGGTGAAAATGAGCTTGACACCCCTACGGCAGACCTAGCATGGGGAGAATTACAGGGTTGAGGGAGAGAGCGTGGTTTTCCAAGGCTGATTCTACGGCAAAGCCTGGTACGGAACAGCTGTCCCGGGCAGGGCGCCCCATGACCTTGAGACTTCCCCGCAGCTGCTGAGACGCCTGCTGAGCTGGCCTTTTGTCTGGAAATTTGGGTGTTTTTTTTTTTCCCTCCCCCAGAGACGCTGGCAGCTTGCCGTGAACTTGCAGCTTTCAAACTCACTGTGATCAGGCATGAGGACGAGGGTTCTCCAACTTGACCTTATGACGAGTGAAGGGGGGGGGGGTTGGCCTCGGTATGTCATGGTCGTTTGGCCCCTTGGCTCAAACCTGCCAAACCATCCACTGCGTTCGCGGGGACTGTCCAAAAGGGCCTGCGCACGTGTCCCCGCGTGACCCCGGCACAATCGAGCAGTATTGGGACAGACCAAGTAAGCAGCCTGAAGTTGCTTTTACACACGTTTTCTTGAGCTTCTCCCCCGCCCCACTGACACACCCACACACAATTATTACAATGTATGCAATTAGTATGAATCTCCTAAATATTACCCTCTGTGGGAACAGAAGCTCATTGTGGAGTTTTGCTAATCGTACTCTCAGTTCATTGGCTGTGATGGCTGCCATGGTAACGCGAGATGGTTGCGACGGCAGAGCCCAGCTGTGGGCCACGCACAGGAGCCCCCGCACCCTTTTCTTTACATCTAAATCTGTGCCCAAATAAAACATTCATTGAAAAACAACTTACAGGCCTCGGGGGACCCCGTTACACTAACATGGCGCTTAAGGGCCCGCAGGCATTTTCGAGTCTCAGAAGCAAACCGGGAAGCGGGGCCGCCTCCTGGGCGCGCGAGTGAGACCCCTGCGGCGGCACAGCGCCCCCGCCCGGCTCAGACAGGCCCCGGGTCCGCTCGGCTCAGCGCTCCGCAGTCCCTGCCTGGGAGTGCTCCCTGCCTGGCGAGCAGGCGGCCGCGCACTTTCGGTGTCTCCGGGCCTCGCAACTGCAGAGCCCGCCCCGCCCTGAAGGGGCCCATCCCGACTGTTGGTGATCATCACCCCAGGAGACAGGGCGGGGGAGGAGTGAAAGCAGGCGAGGGTTTCTTATGTCCTGTGTGCAGTAGGCATGTTGACAAGCACAGCTCGTAACGTGTATGTGTGTTCATACCCAGAACACAAGAGGAGATGTCCAGACAAAACCTAGCTGCCCCGTGCAAAGCACGCGGACTTGGCGCGGGCAGAACGGGATGGAGCTGGGCCTCCACGCCTTAGTTGGCGGCCTGCTCGTTTTCTATGAATTATTTGCTCTGCTGAGACTCGGTTTCCTCCTGGGAAAAAACTGGGGCCTGTTTTCTGCCTCTTAGGGCTGCTCTAAGATTAGATGAGTGGATTAAAGGTGTTTGGCGTGAAACACCAGTAGCAGCTGCTTGTTACATAGTAACCATGACTGGGGGGCCCAGGCCCAGAGAGCAGAGTTCACAGCACCGCCCGTTTTGAATCCCAGCTCAGCCACTTCCTGCATCCTGCTGGGCCTGGTTCCGTCCTCCAAAAACGGGGATGGTACCAACCCACAATCTTCTTCTTAAGATTTTATTTTTAGACAGAGGGCAAAGGTGGGAGAAAGAGAGGGAGAGAAACATCTGCCACACCCTCTTCCAACCATGTTTTCTGACAAGGTCGGAACGTGGAAAGAGGGAATTCAAGGAATCCATCATCCTGGAAGAGAGCGTGGCATACAAAGGGGGGCGGTAATTTTCCTGGGGATTTCTCTTAATAATTTCCTTGCTAATATTGATTATGGTCTTACTTTGTACCCTGATTCCCGTAAGAACAGGCCATGAGGAGAAAAAGTCTCGAAGTGAGTTAACGATTAACTTTGAAGGAAATTCTGAAAGGACAACTAGTTCTCCCTAGACTATTGAATCATGCCCAAATTGTTTAAACAAGGTGTTTATAAACCTGAGTAAGAAATTATCCCCGATTGTTCCCATAAAAGAATTCATGAATCAGTTACAGTAGGTTGAATTATTGGCGGACTTTCCCATGCCTGTTCCTTACCCATAGATACAAAGAGTCTTTCAAGAAAACAAGAAAAAACTATCTAGACCCCTGCCCACAGCCCAGGGATACCCCTGGGTAGCATATTAGATTAATGACAAATTATGGCATCCCCCAAGAAGAGCTAATAGTCTCCAGAGGGTTCCAGATCCCCATTGCCTTATACCTAAGCATATAATGAGGATGGCATTAGAATGGTCCATAAGGATGGAGTCCAAGTGCCTTATAATAGTCTAAATTTCATGGAAAGGCTAGCTCGAAGCAGACCTCCCTGGTGTTTATTAATTAAGGAACAAAAAAGGTTTACTGCTTCCTGGATTTCCTGTTTATCTCTCCTTACATGTTTGTTTTGGTGATCAAAAGGTGGTGGAATTGTCAGACACCTGTATTTCAGGTTTATTAATTCGCATAATTTCAATGAAGTTGTACAAAATAATTTCTTGACCAGAGAACAAATCCCTTCTAATAAAATAGACCCTGAGTGTCTAAAAGTTGTTGGAGTAACAGCCCCGCCTTTACCTTGAATAGGAATATATATCAAGTAGAATTAGACAGGCAAAGAAATAAGAAAAGCTGGTTAGCTATTATAAACTGAGCACATAAAAACAGTTACCAGGGAGTCGGATGACAAATTCTGAGCTTTAATAAATAATAAGACATTCAAACTCTGTACGTACAGCTATTTCTAATTGTCTGATTTATGGCTCTCCTGTTCAAAACAATCTCTGTTTAATATAATAGAATCTGTGGAAACTTTCCTACTTTTCCTGGTTGCCTTTGTATTAATTTTTTCCTGCTTCACCTAACCGTGAATGTTAATCACTACCAAAAATGAAAGTATAAAAACCTGCTCGTACTTGCAATAAACGGAACAAAGCATGACTGTCCTCTAATGTGTATTGTCATCTGTCTCCCATCGCCGACGCCTTACCCACCTTTCAGGAACCCCTGGACCCAGCTGTGGCCGGACCTCGGAAACCATCATTGTGTGATTGCCTCTGGCGTGCCCCCTACTGGGGACATGGCCTGCAACCCAGGCATGTGCCCTGACTGGGAATCGAACCAGCGAGCCTTTGGTTCACAGGCCCATGCTCAATCCACTGAGCCACACCAGCCAGGTCTCAATACACAATCTTTTATTGTTGGTTCCGGAGCCCTGAAGCTCTGAAAATAGAAAGCGTTTAAGTTGGGCACAGACTCGCTTGGCGGAATCTCTGGCCTGACGCGGTGCAAGGCTGCAATCTCCATTTCCTCTCGCTTTGCATGGAAGTCGCACCGTTTCTGCGTAACTGCTTGTGGGTTTGATGTCCGCTGCGATGTGAGGTGAGGGTCTGTTGGCCTCTAAAATCCCAACGGTCCAAATTGCAGAACCCATCAGGCCCCAAGGGTTGGGATGAGGGATGGGGGGGTCCAGCGTGGGGCGGGGCTTAGACGCCAGGCGGGCCAGGGGCCCCGCCCACTAGGTCCTCGGTGTGGACCAATGAGGAGGGTTGGTTGATGGTGCTACTTGGGGTCACGGACAATTTCGGCTCCGATCCCATCTCTGTCCCCTGTCACTGGGGTGAGCTTGGGCGCTGCATGCCAGGTCTCTGGGCAGACGAAGTAGAGGGACGAGGCCGGAGTCAGAAATGACTCCCGGCGACAACGCAGAGGAACTCACACCAGCCCCCGAGGGAGAGGCCCTGGCAGAGGCAGGGGAGCCGGCCTCCCCGCTCCACGTCTCCCTGAGCCTGTCGGCTCCGAAGGAGGGGCCTCGGCTGCCCAGCGCCCCTCCTCCAGGCCCTGACCCCAGAGACCAGGGAGCTCCGCGGGTCTCTGGGGACCCAGCTGTGGCCATGGGTCCCCCTTTAGCTGCAAGACCACAGCACCTCGAGTGAGGGGCCTCTGCGGCCGGACAGTCCCGCTCCTGGGGGGCCCTGGGGGAACCGTCACACCCCCGCTTCCTGCCTCCATCCCTCCTCCCTCTTCTCCCTCAGCTGATCGGCTGCTTCCCAATCAACAGGGGAAAACCACGCAAAACTCCGAGGTCCACACGCTCCCACGTCACCTCTACCAGCCCTGGAACAGGGCCGTCCCCTGCCCTCTGCCCTCCCACCCGTCCAAGGCGGCCCCTTCGCCCCGGCACCTGGCCCCACCCTCTCCGCCCCCAGGCCCCGCCCCCTCCGCTCCGCGGAGGTCCCCGTTTTCCTCCAAGCAGAGCCGCCTGCGCCTCTCCGCTCCGCTGTTTCCTCCCATCTTAAGGCGTCTTCAGGGCAGAGGGCGTCCACGGAACAGCTCCTTCAGCTTTTCGAAGCGTCTGAAACGTCAAAAATATCAAGTTGAGGGGCCGCTTTGTCTCCCTCCCCCCTTCTAGTCCTTCCCTTTTCTTCTTTAACGATTCAATCCAAGAGGGGCGGGCGGGGGTGGAGGGTCAGGCCGAGGGATGGCTGCCCTGGTGGCCAGGTGTGGGGCTTGGATCCCCAGGCAGGTGAGGCGGGGACCCCCTAGGAGGGCGCCGGGTGGGAGGTATCAGAACATGGGGGCGGGGGCAGGGAGGGAGGGGGGCTTGCATGAGGTCCAAGCCCAGAGGAAGGCAACGCGAGGGTGAGCGCGGGGGCACGGGGAGGGCACGGGGGCGGGTGGGGGCTGGCGAGTGGCCCCCGCGAGGCGTCTCCTTCTCCCTGGCACAGGTCGCCGTGCGGGGAGGGAGTCAGGGACCGACTCGTTTCTGGTTGGTTTGTGCGTCGTCTGACCCCGCCCCTCCCCCACACGAGAATACCCTGGAGGCAGGGGCTGCGGTCACCGCCGCATCCTGAGGGCACAGGAGGACAGTGTCGGGTGGCCCCTGACAGCTCCTGCTGAATGAAGGAGTGAAGCCTGCAGCCTCCCCCACACCCCTCGAGGGAGGCACAGTGAGGCTGGGCCCCACTTGCGTGCGGTGGCCGAGAAGAGCAGTGAACCGGGAGGTGGGCGTCTGCTTTGGCCCCAGCGGGGAAGAGGGACCACTTTCACTAAAGCAGGAAGGAAGTGGAGGGGCGGGCAGGTTGGGCGTTGGGTTGGGGGCAGAGGCCCTGGCGGGGACCGCCAAATGCCTGGGTGGGTGGCCCCCGGACGCGGGCGGGGGGGGGGGACCTTGGGAGCACAGCCCGGAGGGAGGTGCGGCCACGGGCCCGGTGCAGCTGAGCTGGGCCGAGCAGCCACTGCGCAGCTAAGCGGGGAGAGCGGCTCTGGAATAATCCTCCTCTTGCGCTCGGGAATTAAGAAGGGAATAGGAAGTTTGGGGGAACATACAATATATTTTCAGAAAGGTGAGCTTGCTGTTTCAGTGTCTGCCCCAAGTCGCCAGCAGCCCTAGCACAGCAACACAGGGGCGCACGCTCATGGCCGCATCCCTGGGGGAAGCTGGGGAGGACGGAAAGTGAATCCGCGCTCTGTTCATCACTAAGGCATCACCGCACGCCCGAGCCAACCCCGCAGCAGGGAGCGCGCGCTGAGCGCCCTGTTGCGCGGCTGAGACAGTGGTGGCGTTTACCCCCTGTCGCCACCAGGTGGCGCCCGTGCTCCTGGAGCGCAACCGGGAGGCCCCACATGCTGGTGGTGGATAGGGAGTTGCGGGGAGAAGGTGGGCTGCACAGAGCCCGACCCCGGGACTCCGCCTCTTTGTCGGGGTGCCGCCTCCCATCCTACTCAGTACTGTGTGTGTGTGCGTCCAAAGCTGGCCCCTAAACCAGAGGCTACTGGAAATCATGCCCCGTGACTGAGAGAACAAGCTTTCAACGGGCTCCGGTTCGAATCCCTGTTCATCCACTAGTGCTGCGTAACCTTCGGCACGTGGCTTCGCCTCTCTCGGCGTCCGTTTTCTCACCTGTAAAATGGGGGCATACTGCTGACTTCGCAGGGTTGTTGTAAGCATTAAATTACGTGATGACGATAAACAGGTGCTGACCCCTCCCTAAGGGCCAGGCCTTGCTCTAAGCACTTTAGCGATATCAGCTCATTTTTATGTTTTTTTAAAGATTTCATGTATTTACTTCTTAAGATTTTATTTAATTTATTATTTAATTTTAACTTTTTTTAAGAGTTTATTTATTTTCAGACAGAGGGGAAGAGAGGGAGAAAGAGAGGGAGAGAAACATCAGTGTGTGGTTGTCTCCTGTGCGCACCCCACTGGGGACCTGGCCCGAAACCCAGACATGTGCCCTGCCTGGGAACAGAACCAGCGACCCCGTGGATCGAAGGCTGGTGCTCAGTCCACTGAGCCACACCAGCCAGGGCTCATATCACCTCATTTTTAAAGTTCACTTTCAGAGGAGAGTGGCTGGGACCAGAGGCCGAGTCTCCTCCATATAAAGGAAGGGAGGACAGCCCTCCCATTGTGTCCATCTTCCTGCTGGCCCCTGGGTGCTGATTGGTGCTGAGGGGACTGCTACCCACACAGGGCGGTGGGAGGCAGGAATGGCTTTTGTTTCTGGTCCTGCCTCCCAGCCTGCCCCTGCCTGGCTGCTGCTGTGGTCTGACGGTCCCCAGGGGCTTGTAAGAAAGGTGCCCTGTCCTGGCTGCAGGATGGCACAGTGGTGGGTGAGGAAAGGCCGCAGCCCGACCCTGCAGTGTCAGCCTCAGGGGTCATGTGGAAGGGGCCTTCTGCCGGGGGTCAGGCCTGGGAGAGCCCGTGGAAAGTCGGGGGGGGGGCGCCCAGAGGTCCCTGGAGGCAAAGAGGTGGGGGTCAGCAGGTAGGTGTGGGTGGCTAAGCGGAGCTGGAGCACAGGACAGACCCCGTGGGTCAAGGCCTGAGAGCAACCTGGGCAGTAAGGGTGACATGTGTCCCCCTGTCCCACGGAAGGCCTCAGGTCTCCAGCAGCCTGGGCACGGAGAGGCCTGGGGTGGCCCTCCATGAGGAGGGTCACCAGAAGCCCTGGCCTGCGAGTGCTGTGACCAGTCCTGGGGCAAGTGGGTTCGGCCAGGGGTGGGAGTGGCGGGGAGCTGGGGTCCAGGTGATGGCATGGGCTTGGGGGCAGTGGCCTCTGAGGGGCTCTCACTCTGACCAGTGCACCCGGAGTCCCACCTCTTCTTGGGGTCTGCTTCTGCTGCTGCCTCTCAGGCACGAAGCTATGGGACGGGAGTGACCCCGCCTGAGAGAGGAAAGGTGGGCTCTGAGCTTACCTGAAGTTCTGAGTCCTATGGCCCATCAGCCACGTGGGGTCACAAATGCCAGATTTGTACTGGGGGGGTCGGCCCCCTCCCTGCCTGTTCCCCTCTCCTCTCACAAGCAGGGGGGCCCTTGGTCCTCCCAGGACACACATTCCAGGAGGGAGCCCTGGTCCCCTTTCCACCAGCTCAGCCGTGCTGAGATGAAGCAGCTAGAAACAGCAGGCACCCCCCACCCCCGTGCCCTCCCCCACCCACTGTGCGCGCACAGGCCCAGAACAAAAACACACTGAAAATAGAAATCAAAGTCTGAGAACGAGCCGAGAAGCCACGACCCGGCCGTGGGAAAAAGGTTGTGCGGCCTCGGCCCCGGCCCCGGCCCCGGCCCCGAACTTCTCCCGTGTCTGTCGGCTCCTCTGTACAATGGGGCCGTGGTACGACCCTTGAGGCGGGCGCTGCTGGGAGAAGGTAAGAGCAGATATAAAATGCAGGATGCAGGTGTGGTGTGCGGTCTAAAAATAAAGCCCCACGCGGCCGAAGGGTCCCATGCTGGACTCTCCCCTCACCGCCCCCGACGCCCCCGCAGCCCCGGCGGGGGCTGCCCCCTCACCGCTTTCCTGTAAGGCTGCCACTGTCTCCGCCGCTGCCCGGCAGCTTCTGCAGGCAAGCTCTCGGGGCCACTTCCTGTTTTTCTCCCCAACGAATTTTGCACCAGCCGCTTTCATCACCCAGAGCTGGGGGTGATGAGGCGAAGGCGGTGGCTGTTGGGGCAGGGAGCCTGGGGAAGGGGGGGCGGCGTCAGGGAGCTGGGAGAGGAGTGGCTGGACCAGCTGCCACGCTCTGGACCCTGTGGCCTCCACCTGCAGCAGGTGATGATGAGCTTGTGGAGAGGCTTTGGGGGGGGGAGTCTGGGGGGCCGCCCGCCTGACGGAGGAGCAGAGGGGCCCTTGTTCGCGCCCTCAAGTCTGGGAATGGGGTTTTGTCCTAGACTCGGGGTGGGGCACCTAGGGAGGGACTGAGCTGGGCTCAGGGTGGCGGGACACCCTGAAAGGTGAGCCCGGCGTCCCTGCCTCCCTGAGGCCGTCAGGCCTCTGAGCATCCCACTCCAGACTGGCGGGGTGTGCGGCTCCTCCAGGAAGGGTGTGAAGGCGCTGTCCCCACACTGGCTGGGCCCCTTCCTGTGCCTTGGCTACAGACCTCTGACCCTCCCCTGGGCAAAGCCTCGCTGGTCCAGCCGTGACGACATCCCCCATTCATTCACTCGCTCACTCGTTCAGCATTTCTGCAGGCTCACGTGCAACAGTTTCCGGGTGCCCAGCCCCGGGCTGGGTGCCAGGGAGCCGGCCCAGACCCCGCAGCATCCCTGGTCCCAGGGCAGCCGGGCACCTGGGCAGTCACAGTGGAGCAGACTGTGGGGGCGGCACAGCCGGGAGTAGGGAGCTCTCGACAAGGCCGCGGGGAGGACAATACCTGGGCTGAGTATTCAGGCCCATAAAGTAGCAGGGGGCAGGGGGCTGGCGGGCAGAAGGAAGAGTTGGGAAGGGCACCCCAGGCAAAGGCCCGGGGTCAGAGAGCGAGCCCAGGGAGTCCTGGAGCTGTGAGCCAGGGCTGGCAGTGCAGCGTGGAGGGCATCTGGGGGAGTGCTGGGGGGTAGCCCCCCAGGGCTAGCTGGGTCCGGTCCCTTGATAATCCAATGTGCGCCTTGTCCTCAGGCCTCACGTGGCCCCACTACACACCACAGTCTAGGGCTCCGGTCCAGCGTAGGCGTGGTTCTGAGAATCGGAAATCAGACCCGCTAGCTGAGGCAGGAAGTGGGGAGTTTACAGCAAGCGTATGTACAGTCTGCACCCTCGGGACCGGGAGGTGCAGCCCAGCTCGCCGGCCAAGCCGACGGATCCTGGATCCTGTCACTCAAGGGAGCGGCTTCCAGGGCCCAAGCCCGTCTTCCCGGGAAGGAGCTGGCCGTTCTGTCTGGGGTCAGGGCCTCCCTTCTGGCTCCATCAGTTACGGCCAGGGGTCAGGTCAGCGTGCTGAGCGTCTGTCCTCACGCCCACACCAGGCAGCATTGCCAGGAAAGGGGGCCGGAGAGGCAGCTCAGTGACCTGAAGACCACAGCACCCATGGTCCCCCACTCTGTCCGCTCCCACCCAGCACACACCCTTGCTGCACCCACTCCTTCGGCTTCTCCCAGATACCCCCAATCCCCTGGTCCTCCCGTAGACCTTTCTACCACCGCGGCAACCCCGGACCCCTCTCCCTTCTCCGGAGGAGAGGCAGTCCGACTCAGGCCCAGCTGCTGTGTGCAGGGCTCCATCCCGGAGCCACCGTGTCCAGCGGACTCCCACCCCCTCTGCTTCCGCTGAGTCTCCTCCGCCGTGTCTCCTTGGGACCCGCTCAGCCAACGACGGGTCAGGTGGCCGGTTCACCTCCCCTGCCACACGGGGTCTGCAGAGAGGGGAGTGCCGCCATCGGCGAGACGGGCGGAGGGGATTACACACTCGTGGGACCGGCTAGCCGAGGACACTCACTCTGCGCGCCCCCCCCCCCCGCCCCCGCCCCACCACCTCCCCGGCTCCTGGGTTGGCAAATGTGGCTGCTCCCAGCTCCGCCCGCTGGGCGTGGAGCCCTTGTCTAGTCTCCCAGGCCCACCCTCGAGGGGTTCTTGGGGAGGCTTTTGCTAGGAGAGGATGAAGCTATCCCGACAGCCTGCTTCTTTTTTTAATTAATTAATTAAGTTTTTAAAATTCTCATTTGAGGATATGTTCATTGATACTTTTTTTTGAGAGGGTAAGGGAAAGAAAGAGAGGGAGAAACATCAGTGTGGGAGAGAAACGCTGACTGGTTGCCTCCTGTGCATGCCCGTTACAGGGAACCAAACCCGCAACCCTAGCCGGGCAAGTGCCCTGACCGGGAATCGAACCGGCGACCTCCTTTTGGTATACAGGACCATGCCCAACCAACTGAGCCACCGTGTCCAGGGCCAGCCTGCTTCTTGTAGGTGCCGTACGTGGGCCTAGGAATCCCTGGAGGGTGAGCATTTCAAACCCCAGTTTCCAGGTTTTGGGGTGGGGGAGTCCTGGAGTTTCAACCTCCATGAAACCCCAGCTGATTGATTTCCTGTCAGTTTTCCTTTGGGTCATGTCACTTACCAATAACCCACCCCGTGACCTCCTGTCCAGTTCAATACTCGGCCTTGGACTGGGCCGTGCCCCCGGGCGGGGTTTTCTCCTCCTGGGTGAGAAGAGGGGCCCGTCGTCGGACTTGGGGACAGGAGGAGGACCTTCTCCCCCGTCTCCCCGAGAACGCTGCCCCTGGCTGCCCTCAGGCCGCCGGATGGGAGACACCAGAGCGGAAGGCTCGTCTGGCCCTGCGGCTCGTCCCAGGCGCCCCCACTCTGACCCCAGAGCTGGCAGACTTGACCGCCCAGGGTGCGCCCGCCTTAGCGTGACACACTCGGGGCGGCAGGGAGCACGCGGCGGCCGCTCAGCAGGTGCGTGAGGGTCTGACGCCTGGTCGTTCCGGGCTCCAGGGAAAAAGGGTTTCCCCCGACAAAGTCGGGCATTTGCCCCGCTTTTCCCTGACCTTGAGCAGAACTGAGACAAAGCTCGATGCACAGCACCATCTGAAGGCTGCTAGGGGTAACTCACACAACCCACATCCCGGGCGTTTTGCTACCAAGTTTCTTTCTGTCTTTCTTTTTTTAAATATTTATTTATTTTTAGAGAGAAGGGAAAGGAGGGAGAAAGAGAGGGAGAGACATCAATATGTGGTTGCCTCTCATGCATCCCCCTACTGGGGACTTGGCCTGTAACCCAGGCATGTGCCCCTACTGGGAATCGAACCGGTGACCCTTTGGTTCACAGGCCCACACTCAATCCACTGAGCCACAGCAGCAGCCAGGGCTGGAAATAGTTTTAACTGGTCTGTTGCCACGGGGCAGGGACTGCTGGTGTCCTGCCCAGGAATAAGAAGTGCTTGTTGCCCCTCCCTCTGTCGCAAGACGTCTAGTTTCAATACTTATTTTTTTTAACTGTCTCTTTCAACACCCCACGTCTGATACCCATTTATGCATTCGCTGGGGTGTGTTTGTTTGTTTCAAATAACATAAACCAACTCAAGAGGGTTTGCACTGGGTTGACCGTTGTCCCTCTAAAATTAAAGGGAGGCACCTCCAAGCTCTTGAATGCTGAGGACGGCAGGCGGCCACTGGAAGGAGACAGGCCCAGGACAGACTCTTCCCGAGAGCGTCCGGAGGGGGCGTCCCTGCTGACGCCCGGACTGCCGACGTTCGGCCTCTGGGCTGAGAACACGTATCTGCTGTTGTTAAGCCACTGGGATCTGTCGCAGCGCCCCCCCCTCCCCCCGCCGGAAACCAACACAGATTTCGAGCAGAGCAGGGAAATAAGGTGTAAAGGGGTGGGGGGCCTTGCAGAAGCAGCCCCGGGCAAGGAGGCCAGGGAACCTCACCAGGATACAAGGACCGGGAGCTGAAAGGTGGCCCGAAAACATCTCTCTCATCGGTGACCCTCTCTCCCTCACAGTGTCCTCTCAGCCTCCCCCTGCACAGCAGCTTCCCCACTTTCTTTAGCTTTCTTGGTAGACCAAGGGCCCCCCGGTTCCTGAGCTGGCTGGCCCAGGGCCCAGGCTCCAGGTACCCGGAGCGTGACCGTTCTCTTGGTCCTGATTCCACAGTCCTGGGGACAATCGGTGATTGGCTCACCTGGGGCAGGTGACCTCCCTGGCCCGACAGGCCCAAAGGCAGGCACGGATAAGCCGAGACTGTTGGCTGGTGTCGCCATGGGCCCCACGGGGGTTGAGGAGCGTTGCACAGAGGGAGCTGGGCGTCCACCCCAGGGACCCTGCACTCTCACCTCCAGGCACTTTCCCGACTGGAGCTCCCATCGGCCGAGGGCAGACAGGAAAAAGTGGAAAGAAAAACACCCATGCCCTCCTCCCACACAGCGTTCGCTGCTCTGGGTCCCAGGGGCACCCGTGTAACATGCAGTGTGACCTGGCACAGAGCAGTTCTGCCCCAAGCCTGGCCACCTGGCCATTTCCCACAATGCTCAGGGCTCCAGAATCGCCTTTTCCATGGCTGCGTACTATTCCATTAACTGGGGGGGGGGGTGTCCCTGACTCCCTCTGGACAGCAGTGGCCAGGGGAGAAAGCGCACCCTCCACAGTGCTGAGGTGACGCATTTTCTTCCTCTCGTCTTTGGTTCAGGAGCCAACTCGCTGCTTTGGCTGGGCCAGTAGACCCCAGAGCCTTCCTGTCACCTGGCTGCAGGGTCTAGGAAGGCCACCAGCCAGTGGCGAAGCTATGGCTTAGGTGCAGGCAGCTCAGGAACCCCCACCCACCCACTGGCTGTTTAGTTTCCACACTGTGGGTGAAGCCACAAACCCCATTTTGTATAGGAGGGGAGGGACTGTAGGGTATGGGGCAGCGCTGGGTCTCGGGGTCCCCAGGGCACAAGGTTCAAAACCACCCCCCACCCTCACCCCATCAGAGTCCACGAGCAGACTCCCCAGGGCCGGAGAATAAGGCCTGGCCTTCTCACTTTCCCCCGGTCCTGGGACCCCGTGCCCCCCAGCCACTGTGTCCCAGGATTTTTTTAAAGATTTTATTTATTTATTTTTAGAGAGGGAAGGGAGGGAGAAGAAGAGAGAGAGAGAGACATCAATGTGTGGTTGCTGGGGGCCATGGCCTGCAACCCAAGCATGTGCCCTGACGGGGAATCGAACCTGCGATGCTTTGGTTCGAAGCCTGCAGCTCAATCCACTGAGCTACGCCAGCCAGGGCTATGTCCCAGGATTTTAACCTGATGCCCGGCTCCCTGTGTACCCGGCTCCTGGGGACTGGCCGGGTCCTTCCTCCCTCCCCACCACGACCGCTCTGACATTTTTTCCTTAAATAAACTTCCCATTTTAGACTAGGTTTCGATGTACAGAGGAGGTGCAAAGATAGCGTAGTGCTTCCATTCCCCACGCCTAGTTTCTCTGGCCACTGCCGTCCCGCATCCCCGGGGGCCGCTGCCACGACCGATGGACCGGTATCGATGTGTCATTATTAAGTCAAGTCCAACCCTCCTTCAGCTCACCTGAGTTTGTCCCCAATGGCCTTCCCGCGTCCCAGGAGCCCGCCCAGGACAGCATGTGACACCGAGCGGTCAGGTCTCCTCCGGGCCGTGACCGGGGCTTCCGCAGGCCGCCCTGGTTCTGGGGGTGCTGCCCCGGCTGGACTAGCATTTGTGGGCTCCTGGCAGGACACCCGCAGAGCCGAACCGTCATTGTCCTCACGCCAGACCCAGGCAGGCCACCGGCTGTCGGCACGACTTGTCCCTGCAGACGTCTACCTCGGCCACCTGGCTGATGCGGCGTTTGCCCGATGTCTTCACTAGAAAGTTTCCCTTCGTCCCCTTTTCCTGCCGTCCTCCTTGGAAGGAAGTCCCGGGGCACAGCCCACAGGGAAGGAGGGTGGGCGAGGTCCCTGCACGACCTACTTGGCCTTCCTCCGGGCAGGAGACGCGCCTGGTCTCCCTCAGGTGTCCGCTCGTTTCCGCCGGTCTGGACTCACCGATACTCACTCTGTGCCTTGGGGTCCCATCCGACGCTGTCTTGGTGCCCCAGCTGCCCCAGATCGGGCCATCGGGAACGCACCCACGTCACCACCGCGTCCCTCAGACAGGCCTCCCTTCTTTGTGGCGTTTGTGATGTAGTTTAGGGACACTTGTTGACCATCTGGCACTCTTCGATGCCGCAGGCTCTTCCTGCCCCCATCCTAGAATCCGCCATTTCTCCAAGGAGCCCTAGCTCCCCTCACGGGGGGAGAATGGGATTAGGAACCTAGGTCTTACCCTGGTCCGTGTGGCTCAGTGGACTGAGGGCCGGCCTGAGAACCGAAAGGTCGCTGGTTTGATTCCCGGGCAGGGCACATGCCTGGGCTGCAGGCCAGGTCCCCAGTAGGGGGTGTGAGAGAGGCAACCAATCAGTGATTCTCTCCCTCCCTTTTTCCTCTCTCTGAATTTAAATACATTAAAAAAATTTTTTTTAAAGAGAAAGAAACCTAGGTCCAGGTGCTGGGCATACCCTTACTGCTGCCTGGTGTCACTATTTCTAGGACATCGGGGTGGCAGAGCGAAGGAGTGTGCCCGTGTCTGTGGTGGGCGTGTTCACATGTACACCACAGCCCAGCCCACCTCGGCTCAGGTTAGAGCCCACCTGGTGCTTCTCATCACTCTTCCAGCCACACCCCACATTCCCAGCTGTACCCCCTGCGCCAGATCCTCCTTCGTGCTGTTTCCACCGCCCCCCTCCAAGCCTCCCCGGTCTCCGTGCTGCTCCTCTGACCTGCCGCTGCCCAGCGCCCTTGCACCAGCTGCTCCCTCCTCCCGGGATGCTCTTCCCTCCGGCACCTGCAGGCCGGGCTCCTCTCCCACCTCGTTCATGCCCTGACCTCAGAGAGGCCTTCCGGACTCCGCGGTCTCCTCCCCCGCCCCTCCCTCCCCTTCCAACCTGTCTGATGTTGCTTTGCAGTACTTACTGCTTTATGACACTGTATCTTGTTTCTATTCTTCGTAGCTTCTTTCCGCAGCACCGGAGCATAAGCTCCAGGAGGGGAGGGCGGGTCTCTGGCTCATACAGTGCTGTGCCCCAGAGCCTGGAGCCAGAGCAGAGCCCGGGGCAGCACGGTGGGGGGGGCTGAGTCAGTGTTGCAAAGCCTGGGTCACCCCCAGGCTACGGAAGCTGAGGGTGGGTCCAGCCTCGGGATCCCAAATCCTGCTCCTCCACCAGCCCCTTTCCACAGTCCCTCCGCCCCACTGCAGGGAGAACCTGAGAGGGTTTGTTGAAAAGCCAACTGCTGCTTCTTTCATTTATTTGTTTTGGGTCTAATAGCCCCTCCTTTTTTTATCTGATGCACTTAATCTTTCCGGTTTTGACCTTTTTCTTTTCTTTTTTTTTCACATTTAAATTGTTTTTCAATTACAATTGGCCTTCCATGTTACTTGGTATTAGTTTCAGGTGTGCAGCACAGCGGTTAAATGTATCTCGAGCCCTGACTTTGTATCCTCGAGGTCAGACTTTCCCAGGGACCTCTCACTGTCCGCCACGCACCCCGTTGGTCGCCACCACCCTGCCGTGGTCAGGGCAGCGGCTCTCCGGCCATGCTGACCGGGAGCTGCAGCAAGACCTGCATTTGACTTAACGCACCCTCGCACCAGCCCCTACATGGGACGGAAGCCTCGGGGAGTGATACCCACTCTGACTACACAGAATGTCGTTGGATATTTTCGATTCTGCTCCGTTATCGTGAACTTGACCTGCCGAATGGATGGGCCGTACGCTGATGGGTGGACATGTCACAACCTGCTGTTGCTGCTGTTGAAAAATTCTGGTCCCTTGCCCTCGCTGGCATAGCTCAGTGGATTGAGCACGGGCTGCGAACCAAAGGGTCGCAGGTTCGATTCCCAGTCAGGGCACATGCCTGGGTTGTGGGCCAGGTCCACAGTGGGGGCCATGCCAAGAGGCAACCACACATTGACCTTTCTCTCTCTTCCTCCCTCCCTTCCTCTCTCTAAAAATAAATAAATAAAATTAAAAAAAAAAAAAGAAAAATGCTGGGCCTGAGTGGCAACACCAGCCCTGCAAAGCACAAAGACTGTTCTGGAAAAAAATAACTCAATAACTAACACTTTTTTTGGCGGGGGGCGTTCACCCTGGGCCAGGTGCTGTTCAATCTCAGCAGCGATTCTAAGAGCTGAGAGCCATTATCAGCATCCCTGTTTTACAGATGGAGAGATGGAGGCACAGAGAGGTTAAGTCACATGCCTGAGGTCACACAGCCCTGACAGGAGAGGTCGGGGCAGTCTGGCTGCAGGGAAGGAGCCCTTAACCCCGAAGCTTCACTGCACTTTTCTTGACTAAGGCAAAAAAGACACGGGTTTGAGCTGGATAATGTTTGCTCTGCCTGGAAGGAAAGGACCGGCAGCAAAGTGGGCTTCCTGCCAGGACGGCGCATGGAGGCAGGTGTCTGGAGCCGTTCATTCGTGGAGGCGCTGAGGAAGTGGCTCCCTCCGCTCCCCGCTTGCACCCCGGTGCCCGGGTGCTCAGCTTGGCTCCGGCTGCCCTGAGATAACCCTGCCTGTGAGCATGCGTGGGTGTCAGTGGTGAAGCCGCTGCAGGCTGAACAAAAAGCAGAGCTGCTAGCTGCATCTGTGAGCGGCTTCGGAGGCCACTTGTTGGCTCCTGGAGGGGGAAGTTCTGCAGGAGCGGGTGGCGGGGAAGAAGGGAACGGCGTGGAGGGCTGGCACGCTCCTCCCTGTGGCCTGCAGCCGCGCTCTGTGCATCTGAGCCTGCGCCCTCTGCCCTGTCCTAACGGAGACCGGCTCTCCTCTCGTGAAACGGGGGGGCGGCGAGGGATTCCCCAGGCGGGAGCTCAGGCGGGCGGGCGTGCGTCCAGGGTGCCGTCCTTACAGCACGGGGCCTCTTTGCCTCCGGCATTGCTCTCAGGTCCTCGCTGGTCCGGAACGCCAAGTAGCTTCCTCCAAAGCACACGGGACAGCAGTTAAAAATAAAGCGAGAACGGGCCGTCAGAAACCATAGAGGAAGGAAGGAGGCAAGTCTATCAGGAACCTGGGGGAGAAGAGTGACTGGGGGAGGACGAGTACAGACCTGGCCTTACAGTTAGCCCGAGCTTCCGGCCCCCCTCCCACTGTGCCCCCCCCCACTCCCTGCAAAGAGGAGGCTGTCCGAATAAATGCGTGGTTCAAAAAGGAAGTGCATCAGGTTTTCAGGAAAGTGGAGCTTCCAAAGGAGCCAGGGCCTGGAAGCTGTTTGACAGCGGTGTGGCTCCGCTCCAAAACGACCCAGCCTCTCTCCGCCCCAGTGTTCTTCTCCGTCCAGGGCCAACGGTCAGTTTTACCTGGTGGAGCTGCGGCGGGTCGCACAGCACGATACCTATTCCGTGACGAGTTCTTTCGGATGATGCGGAAACATTCTTCCTCCGGCTGTTTCTTCCAGGGAACCCTGCACGCCAGGACCTGGAGGGTAAACCGCAGCCCAGCCGGAGCAGGGCCAGGACAGGTGTCGGGAAATCCCAGGGAAGGCTGCCCGCCCTGCCACCAGGTCTGAGCATGTCCGCCTCTCCCCTGGCTTCCGGCAGGACCTCCCTGGAGGCGGCTGGAGACCCCTGCAAAGGACCAGCGATCCCGGCCTGTGGTCGGGGTGAGGCTGGAGCCTCAGACGTTCTGTGAGAAGGACGTTAGGGTGCACTTCTGGTGACAGACCCCACCTTTCTTCCCCAAAGGGGCCTGTCCACCCTCCGGGCTCCCCCACAGGTGTCCAGTGAGGGGTCTGGAGCCGGCACACTGGGACCAGTTAAAACTCACTCGCGGTGCTCAAGCTCTCTCCCTCTTCCTGGCGAAGAACAGAAGCGTCTCTGCACCTCTGCTTGCCGCCACCACTGCCGGGCCCACGCTGATGCGGGTAGGCCCGCCCTGGGTGGACAGAGCCTCTCTCCAAACTTCCGTCTCCCCCGCTGCCCAAGGGAACGAGACAGCCACTCGGCCCCCCAGACCTGGCTGTGAATGGAAAGAAGGGGGGGCGTGTTCTATGGAAAGTCGCCCCACAGGGCGATCTGATCATAAATCCCTAACAGGGCCAGTCACGGTGGGGAGTCACGCAGGCCCCAGGCCTACAACTTCTTTACTAAAAGGCGCCTCTGTGTCTTAGGCAAGCCCTGTGCATTCAGGTTCACCCGTCTTTGGAAACCGGATCTTCGTTTTGCTTTCTCTCGCCGTCCCCTGATCCCTCCCTCGGTCCTGCCTTGACTCCAAAGGCATCAAAGGGACCCTGAGGCTGGCGTTCCGCTGGGCATCTGAGATCTTGCTCCTGGCGTCTGTCTTCCGTTTGGCTTGAATAAACTAATGATTTTTAAGATTTTATGGATTCCTTTTTAGAGGGAGGGGAAAGGAGGGAGAAAGAGAGGGAGGGACACATCGATGCCAAAGAGAAACATCGATTGGCTGCCTCTCGAAGGTGCCCGGATGACAGGGACTGGACCCAGAACCCAGGCATGTGCCCTGACCAGTAATTGAACCGGCGACATTTCAATCTGCCGGACGATGGCCAACCCACTGAGCCACACTGGGTTTGCTTTCAAAACTTCTCTACGGGGACCTTTCTTACACTGACAGACTGATCCATTAACCAGCTCACCCGCCCCACCCCCATATTCCAGAGGGATCTGAAGTCACTCTTACAATCTGGAGGGGTGCTAGCCCCCACCCCCACCCTCGCTGCTCACCAAAGCTTAGAGGCCGTCATTCCCCGCCACCCCCCCGCCAGGGCTGCGTTGGGTGGACTTGGAACCTTCACCCTGATCCTGGCCTCGGCCTCCAGGACCCCTCCTCACCCCCACTTACCCCCACCCTGCTCTCCTCTGGCCGCTGGGGAAGTTCCTGGGGTGTGCAAGCCCAGAGTGCCTGGGGGGGCGGCGCTGGAATGGGCTCCATGACCTCTATTTGGTTGTTTTCCTTCATATCTATTTATATATTTATATGTATAGGAAGAAAAACTTGTTTTGAAGAGGGGCACGGTGCAGCTTCCAGAGGCACATGGGGTGACACCCTCCAGCCCAAGTCGGGGTGGGGTGGGGTGGAGTGGGGAAGTGGGGGGGCAGGGGGCAGAAGAGGCAGCAGGAGGACCTGTTGTTTTTCCTGTTGCAAGTAGAAAGGAAACAAAGTGGGAAGTGGAGCGTGCGGGCTGTCAGCGGGCGGGGCGCCCCCATCACGCCCCGCCTCCCTCCCTCGAGGCTCACTCGCGCCCGGCGCCCTCAGCTCCAGGCGGCCGCTGGGCCGAGCCACCCCAGCGCTGTCAGCCGCACCAGGACCGGTAAGCGCTCGCCTCCGGCTGTGTCTGGGGAGGTGGGGGAGAGGACCGGGGCCAAGGGCTTCAGGGAGCCTGGTGGAGCAGTGGGGCCAGCTCGCAGGGTCTCCCCGAACACACAGCCTGTGGTGCGCCCTGCCCAGTACGCATCCCCGCGCCTAGCAAGCCGGGCATGGGGCGCCCCGCCAGAGGGCTGCTGGGACCTGGGCGGGAGCTGAATTAGAGGCCCCGGGGCCGCCCCCGGTGCGCTCTCCTAGAGGGGTGCACACAGCTCCCCGGCTCGGCGGCAGAGTCCCAGCTCCGCTTCCAGCGGTGGGGCGGCCTCCCGTGTACCCTCCGAGGCGCGGGAGGTGGGGAGCGCTCAGGCCAGCGGGACGAGTGCCCGCCCTAGGCGGGCTGCGTTCTCCCGAGCGGCGCCGACTCGCGGGCTCCCGCGGAGGCGCGGGGAGAGGGGCACGCACTCTATCCAGGAGCCCTGACCCTGCACGCCCTCCCCGGCGTGCGGGGACCCGGGCTGGCCAGGTGGAGCTGTGCCGGGCGCTCGCTCCGGGCTCGTGGACGTGTGGCCCGGCCCGTCTCCGGCCCGCCCCGCCCCGCCGCGTGTTTACTGCAGCGGCGCCGAAATCAGCCCCCAGATCTGCGGCGGATCCCGGGTTACGGCGGCAAAACCGCCTCCAGCTTTGCATTTCCGGACTCTCTTTCTTCTTCTTCTTCTTCTTCTTTTTAATACTCTTACCCGTAATTCAGCCTGAATGAGGCTTTTTAAAAAATCGCGTTTCCTGTTTTTATTTAGGCTTCCTCCTCTGCGCGTCTTTATTTTGAAATCCTGGCGAGGGGAGCAGGGAAGCCTTTCGGGGCGACCAGGACGGGGGCGGGGGGCACGGTGTCCAGGCTGCGCTCTGCCCTGGTGGAGAGAGGGGGATCCCGAGGGCCGAGAAGGGGCTGCCGGGAGGCCTCGAAGAGTGCGCTCCCTCAAGTGGAAGAGGGTCAGGTCGGGGTTTCCCAGGTCGGGGGTGGGGGACGCCCTGGGGCGGCCCACGTGCCAGGTCGCGGCGCGGCTCCCTTGGGATCTGCCCGGTTTGCGGGGGGAGCGCTCGCGACCCCTGGGGCGATTGGGCAGCTCTCCCTCGGCGCAGGTGCCCCTCGGAGGGCGCGCCGGCGGGGCTGGAACCTCCCCACACGGCCGAGGGGGGCTTCTTCATCCGGGCCTCTGCAGAGAAGCCCCCCTCGGGCGCCACCCTCAGAAACGCTCTGCACCGTCGCGCGTGTGCGGGGGGCGGGTGTTTCTGGGCGCGCGGGGAGCCCTCGCTCTGAAGTCTCACTGCGCCAAAGGGACCTTCAAACCGAGAATCCAACCCCCTGTCGGACCCCTGGAGGAGCCCGACAGACACCCCTGGAGTGCCTGACAGCGCCCTGGGGTTCTGTCAAGTGAGTGAGTGATGCCAGAGGGAGTCTACCCCTCTCCCCCCGCAGAGTGCATCCTTTTTTCACGAGTGTTCTCGGCGAACCAAGGGATGAATGGTGTGGTCTCGAGTTTCCGGGGGTCTTGGGCTCAGACAAGTTAACTCGCTCGCCCACACAATTTGCAAGTAGCTCCCCAGCATCCCAGCTGGTTCAGATGCCAAAGCGGTTACCAGCTTGAGGTCCAAGCCGGCGCGGATCCGAAGGATGCTCTCGGGCGGTGGGGTGGGGGCGCTCGCTGGGAACGCGCCCCTCTCGCCAAGCGCCAGGTTTGATGGCCGTGATCAAGCGGGGGGGTGGAGGAGCTTCTGAGGGACCCAGCTGGCACCAAACACGGGGAGTCAGAAGTAGACCTTCCTCTTCCGCCCTCTCTAGGGCAGAAACTGCAGAGCCCCTGACATCTCCGAGCGCTGCTGCTGCTGCGGTTTGATTCCTCCACTTCAGGATTCCGGCCGTCCTGGCTGGGTGGGCGGGGTGGGGGGCGGGCACAGCCTGGAGCCTCCGCGCGTCCATGCCTGTTGGGAGCGTTCACGGACTTCTCGGAGTAGCGGAGGGTGCTCCGGCGTGCGGGGCCGAGTGAGTGCTCTTAGAACCTAGCTGGCCGTTGCCTGTTGCGAACACAACCTCCTTCCGAGCCCCGCTCGACCCACGCCTCCTCGGCCGGTGTTCAGACACGGCACCGGCCTCTCTGAGGATATAGACGTTTCTGGAATTAGGGCAAGTGGCCCAGCGGTGCTCCTGCGCGCGCCGACACCCCCTTGCAGTCGGACCAGCTGCCTTCCTCCTGCAGCCCCGGTCCAGGTGCATGAAGCCTGCAGCGGCCTGCGGGCGCCTTCCTTTCTCTCGCTTTACTGGGTGTAGCGAGTGTTTACCGAGGTCTCACTGGGAGCCCGGGCTGTGCTGAAACCCGGCGGGCTCCTACTCCTGGGGGGGTGGGGGGGGCGGGGGTTGGCGGGGAGCATGGGGCGGGGAGCTTGCAGGGCACACAGTCCACACGGAATCGGAGACCCGCCGCAGACCCATTAGCTTCTGCGCCCCGCAGCCCAGCACGGTTGCGGAGAGGGAGTTTTTGGCGGGTGTAAATGGGGGGTGAGGGGTCAGTTCCTGCTTCACCTTGTTTTTCTTCAATTGCACAGTTAAAGGGAGAAGTGAATGTGCAACTTATGAAGCAATTCCCCTTTGGCCGGCTGATTTTTCAAAACCATTTTTGTTTAGAGAGCAGTTTCCCCCCTCCATGAGGCCAGCTGCTCCTGCGGGGCCTGACGCTGGGGCTTGGGGCCCCTCCAAATGCTTCCTTCCTTAGCGCGGCCCCTTCGGCCCCTCCCCGCGGGTCAGAGGCCATCCTCGCGCTGCTTCTGGGGCACACGCCCTGTCCGTGTCGCCATCCCTGCCCCGGGACTGAGGGACTTCTGGGGGGCTGAGCTCCCGCCGGTCAGCAGCAGGAGCCTGCCCACCTCGTCCCGGAGACAAACATTCTCGTCTCTCGGTGACAAAGGTTGCAAGACTCCTTCTCTCCTGGCAGTGAACCGTTCAAACGGAATTTTCTTGACTCTGGTTGGTGGAAATCCCCCGCAATCATATCAAAAACGCTGCCAGTTTCAAGATGGAAAAAAAAAAAATTAAAACCCGGGAACCTCCCTCCTCACTCTTTCCTTGCAGACAAACACTGTTTTTCTGCGGTTTGTCCCAAACTACAGCCACTCTCGCCGCCCCCCCCGCAGAGCCTCACTGTGACTGTCCCCCACAGCAGTGCTGGCTGCCTATGTGTGAGAACCCCCCCTCCCCGGCCCCCGCCCCCGAAGGAGTGGTAAGCTCACCCTTCAGGAGGAGGTCAGGGCTGCTTCCAGAAACGGGTGCTTTCCAAAGCGGCCTACTCTGCGAGCCCTGAGGGAGAGTGACTGGAGGGATGGGTGTGGCATTTGTAAAATGCCATTTCAGCCAGCTTCTGGGGCTCTCTCCTGGGAGGGGAAACTGCCTTCCACTCAGAAGGGGTGCCAGGAGGGAGAGCCGGGGGCGGGGGGGGGAGGGGGGGGAGGGAGGCGGGGTGCAGCCGCAGAAGGAGAGAAGGCAGGCCGCCCGGCCGGCCCGGGATGGAAAATCCCAGAGTCCTGGAGGGCTGCTGAGCTCCTTCCCTGCGGCCGGCCGCTGTGATGAATTACCCCACGTGTCTTGTGTGGCTTAAAACGGCAGAAACGTCTCCCCTCCCGGTTCTGGAGGCCAGAAGTTCAAAGCCAAGGTGTGAGCGGGCCCTGCTCCGTCCAGCGGCCTGGGGCAGGATCCTTCCTGGCCTCTCGGGCTCCTGGGGGCTGCAGGGGCCCCTGGGCCTGAGGCAGCACGTGCCTAGGCTCCGCCGCCGCCCTCATGTCCCCGCGTCTGTCCTCTTCCGTCTGTCGTGAGGGCACCTGTCAACTGGGGGTGGGCCCCGCCGGGGAGTCCAGGATGAACTCCTCTCGAGACCCTTAACCCCACTCCATCTGCAAAGACCCTTTTCCCACAGAATTACGTTCTCAAGTGCGGTTCACCGGTTGGGGCGGGGGTTGAGGCGTGGACGTGTCTTTCCGGGATACGGACGAGACGAGACTGTGCTCCTT